TAAAATAGAAACAAACACTTCAATGCATATGTTCAAAACGGTAGCATTTTGTGTACATAACCACATATATTGTGCATTGAACTTAAATTACATTCAATTATTGGCATAAATAATTCGTGGCCAATGCAATTTATGAAAAAATCTCTTTTTTATATTTCAAATAAGCTTTTTTTTGTTTCTCTTTAAAAGAAAATATTTTTATTATTTTTATTTCAAACAACCAGATTATTTAATATTTGCAATGCTAACAATATGCTTTGCAATTAAATTTCATTTTGACCTTAATTGTTAAAAAGCTTTTCGAATGTACACACCCGGAAAATAAATGAAATTGAAGTAGGTTCAAAAATAATTAAAATAAGTTCTATACTTTTACAATTTTGGTTTAAAAATATTCATTTAATGCAGTTCTCAATTGCTTGTAAAATTTTATTAAATCAGAATATAAATTACGAAATTCAAGATGAATATTATGTAATTTGCACTCTGAAAAACTTGTATCTGAATATCCAATGCACATCCATATTAAGGATGCTTAGAACAGAAGCTCTAAAACTTTTGTAATAAATAAAATCTTCACTAGTTACTCTTTTGGTTTATATTTATTCAATTTTGTACAAATCAACAACAGTTTTTGGATGAAATATTTAATTAAGTGAAAATCATAAACTTCATAATTTTCTACTTCTTTTCACTTTCAATATTTGTTGCTCCAAAAGTTAGAAAACTGTTTATTTTGATGTTTAGAAATATTGATTTAAAATATTAATGAACATTATAAATTAATACTTTTTTAAACTAGTATGATGTCCCATAATGAAGACAAAAATGGAGTAGTCATTATCATTAAGAGTACATTTTGAGATTTTTCTTGAATAAAAAATGAAAACTTCTTTCAAATTTAGAACGCTGTTTGAAGTAAATTTCTCATCATTATCAAATCGAATGCGCAGTGTGCAAATGCCGAGTGTAACGAAATGTAAAATTATAATTGCATTATAATAAAATGCATAAGCTACAGTCAAAGAAATAGAATAGTTCAAAGCTTTAAAACAGTTTAATGAGAAAGCTTCCACAGATTCAACCACTTGTGCATGTTCATGAGAGTTTTTAGCTTTGATTTTAACAAATTAATAATGTCAAGAGTTCTCATTTCTACATATACATTAGTAAAGATAAATAATAGCTAAACTTTTGAAGATTTTTTTAAAATGTTACAGTATTAAAATTTTATTTTCATTACCTCACAACTAACCCATATAGTTAAAGATGATGATGATGTTGATATAAAAATCTGCAACGAAAACTTTCAAATAGTTTATGCGCATGTATGAAAATGAACGATTTTGTTTCATACTGTAGTTAAAAAAAACGCGAGAGAGAATTAAATAATTGGAAACTGTTGATTGAGAGAAAAAACCTTTATGAAAATTTATTTTCAATTAAGTTAAATTATGAACGAATTAAAAATCTGTAATTGCCACAATAACTTTCGATTTCTGGATGATGCTGAAAATGCACTGGATTATTAATGAGAGTAAATGGAGAGTTAATTAAGAATGATCAAATAATGATGATGTTTATATTCTACCTTATGTTTGACTAATTTTATGAATGCGTACTTCATATCATAACTTAATATAGATGAATAAAAATTCTTTTATCATTTTGTCGTAATCAAAATAAAAATTTTCATTTGAATTGACGTCAAAGGTACGTCAGTTTATTCAAAAAAAAATGTTTGGATTACCTGATAATTCACTCTACCCTATTCATCTCCTTCATACAATTTTGCTCATATAAACTATCGTCTCATTTAAAAAAATTCAATCATTGCTGAAGATGTCAAAAATAGAAACGAAAGACTGATGCTGCTTTTAAGGATAATTGAACGATGACATAATATTTAATTAAACGATTCTCCAAAGAATAAACACAATTTTCTTAATTGATTTTTTAATTATGTAAGATAAATAAAAATAATGTCGGTATTTTATGACAGAAAAATGCTTTTAGAATGAATTTTAATAAACTTACCCAGCAATAAGCTAAGATTGAGTTTCTTTGTTGGCTAAGTGTATTATGAATTTTGAAAAAAAAAAATCTGTAGCTGAAACTGTTATTGCCAATTTTCATGAAAATTTTAATGATTTACATCAACTATATTTTAAGAAATTTAATATGACAATTTTTATCTTTAATTTTCTTACAATTCCATAAATTTCACACAAAAAATAATTTAATTTATATACTAGATGCTGATGACGCATCTAACCAACGAGCAGCATCTGGAATGTTTGAAAAAAACAAAGCAAATATCTAAATACTATATGAAGTTTTACTACCGCAAATCAATCATTCACATATTGTGCTTGTCACATTTGCTTATAATTTATATTCTGGTATAAAAATGCTCAACTTTCTTGCATGATATTTTTGAAACAATTGTTTGTTTTCACGTTAACAGATTCGTTTGATATTTGTCATGGGGGTTGTTATATTATAATTGAAGCAGTTATTTATTATCACGATTTAAATCCTTTTAAACAATAGTTGATAGGCATAAAACATGATTACTTATAGTTCAAATTTTGATATTTTTAATCGAGGGCCATTCATTCTGACCCGATTTCGACTCTTCATAATTTTATATCTGTATTAAAATTTCTCCATGCTATAAATGACGTAATGATAAAGTATTGTTTAGGACAGCAATATAAAAGCTCTATATCAGCAAGATGAGATACAAAATCTGTTTAGAACAATGCAGATTTTTTGACATAAAAACAAGCAAAGTCATAAAAAAATTTAATGTTAACAGTTGGCTTCATTTTCTAATAAAAATCATGCAATGAATTATGAAATCTAAGTTTGAGTCATTTGAGGAATGGCTTCTTACAGTGTGTACATGATTAGCATGACGTTTTGTCGTTCTTGCTGTTTCTAGTTATGAATTCTTTAAATAAATTCAAGCAAGACTTAATTACGAATTCATAATTCAATGTTTGCATTAAAACGCTGTAAATCTGAAATAAAAAGCTTAATAACTACTTTCGTCAGATTCCATTTTTGAGTCGGCATGAAAGCGAATTTATTATTATAGTACTTAAATAGCCGACAACAGTTGCAGCGGAAGTTTTTTGCCGATAAATTCATTCGATCTTCATTACGTGATTTTAATTTTAATAGAAAAATCATCAGTTCTCTTTCCTCAGTTTGCCGATTTTGCGCAAATTTTTCATGCTGCATTGGCATTTTTCTTCTTCTTAAATTTTAATGGATATATTCAAAATTTATTTCGCAATGACGCAACTGAGCTCAAAATAACATTATCAATTATAATTGCTTTAATGGCTCTGCCAGATAAAAAATTCTCATATTCTTTTTTTTCTGTTTAATCGCATTTAAATTCATATTTAATTTAATTAATTTTTTTTGTTGCAAGGCAGCTACAATATTTGGAATTGAATCTAAAAATAGTAAAACAAAATGACAAATTAATTTAATGATAAATTAAAATCTACAATTTGAAGCGATTTGACAAATGAAAGTTTAATTAAAATGACCTGATTTTAGAAATAAAAAATGATCTACATAAGCATATGAATACAGTTTAGTCAGGTAGACTGAACAAGAAGTCATATTAAACGTTACTAAAATTTTAATTGAATGATGAAAAAAATGAAATAAAAAGTCGTAGACAATTATATTTCCACCAAATTGAATGAGATTATCATTTAACACAGTTACAGTAATAAACTGCAATTTATTCAAATATTTTTTATTCACCAATAAATAGACAAGCTATATGCTTTCGGGAATTATTCATGATATTTTCACATCAGCAGAAATGTGCTGAATGATTGATAAAACAAATGAGTGGATTTTCATACGAGCCGATACGAGTGGATCATGCATAGATAGAAAAGTCTTTGCGTCGTTCATGCATCAATAATCTACTGTTACATTGCAATTTAATTCACTTTAATTATATTTATTAATTGAATGAATGAGTCTTTTGGAATTTAAACTCATTTAGCTTTAAAAAGGCTTGTAGTCCTCAACAAGAACTATTTAAAAATCATAAAATTGCTATAATTTTGAAAAATAATTATTACTTTTTTACTTCAGCTCCAGTCTGCTTTTCAGTGAATTTAAACAAAGTTGGTGCATCTTGATTATTACTGCATTCTGATATTTTAAATGTTACATTTTCATGTGCTTTTTATAGCATTACTTTGGCAGACTTAAATCATTTTAAGTAGTTTTAAAATCAATACAATAAAAAATCCACCGCCGTGTAATTTTCTAGGCTTACAAAAACAAATCACAGCAAAAAGGTTAAAGAATAAAGTAGAAAAATATACGCCATACACGAAAAGCCACTTCACGAAAATGAGTAAGCGTGAAAACAAAGTGAATTATGCATGGCAGTTCCCATTAAAATAAAGGAAAACATTCCTGCTATTTTTAAATTACCGAAAAAGGAAAAAAAACTGAAAAGTGCATTGAGCACAACAACATCTACCGATGGAGGTTGAGATGTCGGGTGGATAGAAAATTTCTCAAAAGGCACTAACGACCATTTTCATTTGTTTTTGTTTGTCTGACAATAAAAAGCAGCCATTTCATGATGTTTTATTATCAACAAATCCATTCGATGTCGGTAGGTGTATATTCAGCCTGAAAGCATACGATATTGAAGAGAAAATACAGTTTTTTGCCATAGCGCCGCATGTATACACGTTAACCCAATTAGCATTCTACTATTTTACATTTAATATGGAAAAAATGCTCGAAATGAGATTTAAGATTTTTATGGCATTTCATTAAAAACACGAAAAATGTTAATTAACTGAAAGTGAATAAGAAAATCAGGTAAATGAGCGACTGTGAGTAATTGTACAATGATGATCTTTATTTTCCCTAATCATTCAATAGTTTCATTAATTCTTTACAATTTAAATAAAATCTTTTTATGCCATTTTATTTTTTAATAGGACTCTTGTCATGGAACGCAGCAGACTGTCATGTCAATTTGGAAGAAGAATTGAGTACAATTACAGCTTTGGCATTGGAAGGTGAAGAAGGAAAGAATGGTAAGATGAGATTAATGTTATTTAGCAATTTTATACTATACAAAAAAACTGTCAAATGGTTATAAGAAAAGAAAACAAGAAATAAGCACAAAACATCCAACAATCTTATATCAAATTGAGGGTTTTAGATAAAAAGTATTTGCGTCATTTTATTTCTCATTCATTTTTTTGAAAGTGATTAATTTAATTTTGTCATTTTACTAAAGAAGATATCTAAGGAAATTTTTATAGTCTGCAACATTAAGGGTTTTTATTACTTTTGTCATCTGATATTTACCAAGAATAATTTCATAGGAACTCATTTTAAGATCTTTGTAAAAGGAATGTTTCTAGTTTAAATAAATAACTGTTGGAAACATTCATCCAACCGAGAGAATTTGAAATATCCAAAAAAAATATATATATTCCTAGTAAGAAGCCGTTCACTAATGGCATCTAGGGGTTGAGGGGGGTCAGCAAGAATAGAACACTAGAAATTCCTGGAAATCCATTGTTCATTTTTGAAAAATGACCGTTAATTTTCGGTGGGGATTAATTCGGATTAATAGGTGCAAAAAATGTACAGAAAAATATATCAATCTATAAGCATCTGAGACGATTTTTTTCTTAATTCCTGCAGTTATCAAAAACTTTAAATTCAGAATCTTGAATTTTGTGCACGTGAGAGCTTCAGATATTAGAATATTAAAATGAATTATTGTCAATCAGTATAAAGCATTAATATACAGCTCATGTGCTTTATGAATAAAGATGTACTTTCAAATGCCTATTTTTCATGCAAATCTTTATTCCTTTTATTGTCTGAAATATCTCCCAGATGTGTTATCCATTCTTCTAGCATTCACATAATATGTTTATATCTGATCAATGTTTTTAATGTAAAATCGATTTCTGTTCAAACGATTATGATGTATTTTCTGGTGTATTTTTTTAATTCTTCACACTTATCTATTCTCCTGTTCCTTTATTCACGGAAAAATGGATGCAGCCAATAATTCATATTATTTTCCACATAATTTCTCACTTCTTGCCTCATTTCCAATTTCATTTCGATCTGATTTTTCCTTTCAATAAATGCTGTGTTGTTGAAATCGATAAGACGAAGCAGAAAATATTGGAATTGATATAAATATAGTTTATTGATAATTTTTAACGATAAAACACCTTCTTATTTATTTATTGTATTTTATTTTATCTAACCATCTTCTTCGTAGGCAGCCTTTTATCAATATTTGGATATTTTTTCCTTTCAACATCCAACAATACGAAATAAATGAAATAGCTGATATCAATTTATCACAATGTTTCTTCTTATTTCATTATCTTCGTTAGATAAATAGAATTTTTTCTTGCTTCTTTCTTAGCTATAGCTGGAAAAAATCAATAATACTGTACACGAAAGAAAAGCAAGGCAATCGAATGTGCGATAAAAACTCAAAAACCTAAAAATAAAAATTGCAAGAAAACAATAGAAAAAGTAATAATATGCTGCTTTTGTATTGAAAGAAATTTGTCGTAGTTTAGCAGACATAAACGATTGACTTCCTGTGACTTATTTATCAGGAATTATTTATAAAAGTATAAGTAGAAGAAATACACAATAAGATTAATTTCAAACGGCGATAGCTTTTCTCTTCGAAGTTTTATTGTTTCATGATATTCAGACCTAAATTAAGAATTTTTGTATTGTTTCAGACATAAATTTTTAATTTTCAAAGGAGGTGTTCTTAAGACATTTAAGCCAACAGCGTAGCCAGGGGGTGGATTTGGGGGACAAATCTCCCTTCGTCTTGAGAAATATCTTCATTTTGCTTGAGATTTTATGAAAAACTGGGGGGTGGCTATGCTTTCTCGAAATCCCGGTCCCGACAAATTTTCGGGATCGGGATCGGGATTGAAATTTTTCGGGATTTCCCGGGAAATCCCGGGAATCCCGAATGTGTAAAAAATTTAAAAAACAGCATTTTTCTGCTTTTTTTTCCCAAAATAATTATATATTTTTTTGCTACTTATACGGTCATTTATTCCTTAATTACTTAGTTATACTTTATGTGTTACAAGGTAGATGTTTTAATCCATGTTTCCTTTGAAAAATGTGAACATAAACAAAAATAGAAAATAAATGTTGATAAAGATGTAAGTTAAAAGGTTATAGAAAACGGTGTGAATATAATAATAAAAATTAAGCATTAATGAAAAAACTTTTAACAAATGCAATTGCATTTAGATTCTTGTCAAGTAAACGTTTTCTTTGTTTTGTAAGAATGCTGTTACTAATAGAGAAATTTCGTTCGCTTTGAGTTGAGGTCGGCTGCATTGTTATCAATGCATCGTAAAGTTGATCTAATAAAACGGTTCTCTTCTTATTTTTGTCATACCAATTAAACTCTCTTTTCAAGTTATTTGGTTCTGTTGCTGCTGCATCTGTTGTTAATGATGTATATTCAGATATGCTTAGTTTCAATCTATCTCGAATAGAAATGTTTGACGGTTGGATTTGATTTGCACTGGATGTTGAAGCTTCCATAGCTCCATTTGTAGAGTTTTTGACAAAATACTTCTTCAATAAGTCAATGCCAAGTTTATGTATTACAGCTTTTGTTGACGATTTAAAATGCTTGTCTAAAGAAATATATTGAGGATTATTCAGGTAAAGTATTAAGTCAATTAATGTTCCATTTCTTCGTGCACCTATGCGAGCGCAATTCATATCGTAAACCTTTTGAGACAATAATGTTCCTTGTAGCAACAATTCGTCTAGCAAAAAGTTAATTGTTCCTTCAGCAATTAATAAATCGTTTGATTTACGCAATAATTCTTCTGTCGCGTATTTAGCAGGTTCTAAAACATCAATAATTTCCTAAACTAAAAAACCGGGATTTTCAATCCCGATCCCGATAAATTTCGGGATCCCGGGATTGATCGGGATCGGTAAATCCCGGGAAATCCCGATCCCGATCCCGATAGCGAGAAAGCATAGGGGTGGCACCCTGATTTAAGCACATTTCTGAGGCAAAATATCTTCGTCGTAAAACAGAAAGACAGAAATATTTAGCCGACATTACATATTATTTGCTTAACAAAATTTTGCGTGTGTAGTTCATGTAAAAAATAATACATATTTTATTGATGTCTTCACGTCGTCTCCATTTTCCCACGCAAAATTTCACTTTCCGTCAAGCATACACCCTTATTGTCTTGCGTTATTTATAACCAAATGAAATATATATAAGACATGTGTGTATTTCAACACATGTTTGTCTTGCAGGATGGCGATAAATAAGAGTGAGATTTTACATTAGCTGGATTATGAAAATTTGATGATTCAATTCGCACAACCGATAATACTCATTTTTTGTTATGTATCTGTGAATAGTCATCTCGATTCAAGTACAAAACGTAAATCATACTTTTTATGAGAACATTCATGGTTAATGTAAAGGAAAGACTACATGAGGAAAAGAAATTTATATTCATATTCAATTCTCATTTATGCATTAATACTTTATCATATATTTATTTCACAATAAAGCTCAATAAGAATGCGTTACTTATTTTTAGAAAACCATTGTATGCTTGTGTCACAAATCTAACAAGATGCATTTTTTATTGAAAATTTGAATCAAATGAATTCAATAATTATCTCTTGGAAGCTTTCTACCTCATTTAATATGTTTAATTTTTTGTGACAAGTGGTTTAGATTCTACCATAAACTGTAGGTTTAAAGGGTGAGGTACAACAGATTAACAATCGCATTGCCTTTAACTCAAAACAGCTCAAAAGGCTAAGCTTATATATTTTGTGACAAAGATTCGTTGGATTTCGAAACCTACAAAAAAATAAAAGGAACTCTTCACAAAGAAGAACCCTTGATGCAAAACATCACCTTTACGGGTTTTCATTTCCGAGCAACACAATTGGCAAAAGCTTTTTTACAATTTTTATTATTAACTTCAAATGGAAGCCAAACAATGACCTGTGACGTACCGTGGTTGAGCTTTTGCTTTTCATGAAACTCTTATACTTTGAATAAAAACTTATAAATGGCATCATTATATAAAATGAGATATTTGAGATATGAAACTTCTTACCCTTAACTTAAGGGCCTTAAGCTTTTAAAAATAATAAAATATAAAATTAATATTTAAGTTCTCGTAACTGAGTGAAATCATCTTTTGAAGCATAAAAAGTACAAGCAGTTTTCTGGGTCCATAGATGTATAAAACTCTCCCAACAGAGTGCTTCAAACATGAAAGCATTTTTAAGAAAATGAAAAAAGCTCGGAATGTAATTTTACTAAATAATTAATGTGGCTTGGAATGTTGGGAGGAAACTTATAAAATATATTAATCCAATTTTCATTTTTTATTAACATGATGGAAGAAATTACATTAAACATGAAAAATCGATAATGATTTTCTAACCTTACAAATATATGAACATCACACAATTGTGCTGTTCAAAAAAGAGCGATCTGAAAAAAAAACAAAATGGGGAAGAAGAAATGACATAACGTAATTTAAGTAAAATGCAAGGTGCACCAACTTCGTTTAAATTCACTGAAGAACACACTGACGTCCAAGAATAACGGTAGTTCAACTATAAAAGAGTGAAAAATCTTTTATATATATGCAGAATTCACAAATAATTCTGCGACCTCAGTACTCTTCAGAGAATTTAAACGAAGTTGATACACCTTGATAAAATGACAAGATAAAGTTAAATCTAATTTATGGTATTAAATTGTGAGAAATAAACGAGAGAATGGACCAAAAGAAACGTAGAACATAAGAATCTTGCTGCAGATATTTACTCATATTTCTTTTTACCCTGACAGGAGAGAAACTCATTCAGTATGCAAGCGAAAATTTAGTCACGGAGATATTGATTCATCCTCAAACGAATACATTTATTCAATGTATGCGTAATTTGCTGAGTAGCTTCACTCGACACCGTCACATTATTCATGCAGGATATACCTTTACGGGCAATGGCTCATGGATTTTACAGGTATGTTGAATATTTCAGACAAAGCGATAATGTTTTAATTATATCACATTTACTGTTTTCAGGATGGAACATTTTCCGTATTAGATTTTTGTGATGAATTTCTTCAGAATGAGGTTCAGAGAGTTTTACGAGCATATCCAGATACAATTTCAATTGATATTCACTGTGCTCAATTAGGACATTGGTCTTCATTGCCTGACAAAAACTTTACGAAACTTTGCAAAATTCGTATAAATCCTGTTGACGTAATCGACTCGGGAAATGAAAAATTAAATGCTTTTACTGGTAAGTTTAGATATTTATTGGCTTTCTTATCACTCACAACTCAATGAGCCGAGATTTCACGTATAATATGTTCTCGTCTGTGGATTCATTAATCATTGTTTCCATTTCTTTTTTTCTTCTACATCTTTAAGACTATTTATCGGTTATGGTTTATTCTGGAGACTTGTACAATTTACTTGAAAGTTCAGATGTTGTTGGAAATATTCGCTTTAGTCATCCAACACTTTATGTCTTCCCCGGTGGACAGGGTGATGCCGCTCTATTTGGCATTAATGGCTTCAACATGCTAGGTACGTATTACTGCAGTGAGCAGAATTTTTTTAAATAAACATTCTTGAATGCTTTCTTTGTTTATTGTAGTCGACGGAGGCTTTGCCAGAAAGGCATGCTTTTGGGATTTTGTACGACACCTAGATCGCTTGGATGCAGTTTTAATGACGAGATTAAATAATAGTAACATTAACGGTATGAGCGCTGTGATCGAACGTAAAAGTGGAAATTATGTTTATCCACAAATTGGACATTTCTTTGCAAACATTCCTGCAAGCCGTGCCATATCAAGTCCTGACGGTGATAAAGATCGTAATCCTTTAGAAATAGATTTGATTGAGGAAGGTAGTCGTTTAGTTTCAAACCTTAAGAATATTAATTTGAAACCTCAAATGTGTTATCGTGATGCTGAACCTATAAATCTTTATCATAAAGTTGGTCACGGTACACTTGATATGTACATAATAAGCCCCTCAAAAGATTCCAAAGAAGTTAAAGAATTTCTTCAAAAGTGGCATGCTAATGATCAGAAATTATTTGCATCAAAAGATTCCAAAGAATTTACATTCCCAATCCAAAATATTGTGTCAATTTGTGCACTGCTTGTTTGGCAACCTGCTAATCCTGATGATAATATAACTCGTATTCTATTTCCTGGTAGTACACCCGATTCAAAAATATTCGAAGGACTTGAAAAAGTAAAAGCTTTAGAATTTTTGAAGCATCCAATTTGCACTGTTAAAACAGTTACTCCTTCACTATCGACAAGCATCTTATCAAAAAAGGCTTTAAAAGCTGAAAGGATTATTGATTCAGTTCCTATTAAGCCTATAAAAGAAAAGGAAAGAAAAATAGAGAAGGAGAAAATAGCTGATGTAGCAGTTGATGAGAAAACTTCTCAACCAGATAATCGATTAATTGAAGAGCAACAACAGCAACAAGAACAACAAGAGCAAATTACAATTGAAAATACAACTGCTGTAACAGAAGAGATAATAAAAGCTGAAAAAACTGTTACTAAAACAGCGTCAAAGTCAAGAACGACAGCAACAAAACAGAGCAAATCAGATGTAAAGAAAACAGAGACTAAAAAAATAATTGAACCAGAACAGACTGTAACAGCAAATGAAAAGGCTGCGATAATTGAAAAAGAAAAAGGTGATAATAAAGAAGAGACTGATGCTAAATCCACCGAAGAACCTGAAAAAATTTCAGATGATAAAGAAGAAAAGCCTTTGCCAAAGAAGGAAGTAGAAGAACCTGAAGTTAAACCAAAGGCAAAGATAAGTAAACCAAAATCCGATCCGAAATCGCACGTAAGATCCCGAATTGATTCTCGTCCACCAAGATCAATGAGTGATAAGAGAACTGCTGCTACAAAGAAGGAACAAGATAAGGATCAAAAATCATCGCCAACAACGCCTAAGAAAACAAGTGATAAATTAGCTAATGGGTCAGTAATGACTGGAAAAGAAACAAAAGAAGAGAAAATCATTGAGAAGGTTAAAGCTAAACCACTCACACGTACAGTTAGGGAGAGTCCAAAAAGTACACCTGCAAAAAGCACAAAGGATGCTAATAATAGAAAAGTCCTTGAAGCACGTCAAAAGCCAACTACAGTTGCAACAGCTTCAACACGAATAAGTAAAATGGCTTTAACAACTCACGAAGAAAAGAAAGAATTGAAAACATTTGAAAAGAAAACAGTTGCAAAAAGAACAATGAAAAAAGTAGGAAGTCCAATGAAAAGCTCTAGGAAAGATGTTAAAAAGGTTGTAAAAGCAGATAAAAATGGCACAACAGATTCTAGTTTGGTATCTACACCAAGTGAAGATGTCCAAAAGAAAATTGTTACGGGTACTGAAACTGATGTTGTAAAACAGAAGGAACTTAATGAACTGAAAGAGGAACAAGAAGCTGTTCGAGAGATAGAAGCTGTTTTTGAAAAAGATCAAGTAAAACGACGTTCACATGGAATTATTATGGATCATCGTGAATTACATGAAAGCACAACCGAGGCTGAGGAAGAGGAAGAATATTTAATTATAGAAAAAGAAGAACCTTATACTGAAGATTCAATTAATGAGCATGAGAGCCATAAAGATGAGGGTGAGATTCAAAAACTTCAAAGAGATCACGATGAAAACGAAAAGAAATTAAAAGATGACTCAAAAGAAAAGGAACCAATACAAACAGAAACAGACGAGAAGGTCGATCAACAAGAGTTTGACGACGATAATGAGAAAGATAATTTAAAGGAAGAAGTTCAAGTTGAGGTTCAAGAAATAATTTCATCAGCTAAAGAAATTGCCATTTCAAAAATGGAAACAAGTATTGAAGCCATGTTGAAAACTGAAGATGATGATGAACGTATTAGCAGTGCTAGAAATATAGAAACCAAAGATGATGATATTAGAGATAACGCTAAAGATGAAATTGATCCAATAATGATTGAAAGTCAACCAGAAGAAAAATTCTCAGCAACATCTGGTGCAACCACAGCTCCAACAATGCCCGAGGATGAAGTAAAGGAAGGTCCACCACTTGATGAAATCAAGGAAGATTTAGCGGTAGAAGAAAAATATATTAAAGAAGAAACAAAGGAAAATGACTTCGTTATGAAAAAACTTCCAACAGTTTTAGAGCCCCTTAAAGGTGACAGTGGAAAAGCTAATTTCATAGCTCAAAGCCCACATTTAAGAGATATTGTAAAAACTCCCGATGAAGTCGCTGATCTACCAATGCATGAGGTTGTAGATTATCAAGGATATGTCGAATATGGTGGCAAAAAAGTAGACAAGCCCGATGAAATTCCAGCTGAGGAAACACAGAAGGAAATTGAGGCCAGAGAGGCTGAATTACTAAAAGAAAAAGATGAAAACGAACAAATTGAGGACAAAGAAATTGAAGACAAAGATGATTTGAAAGATGAAACTAAATTGTCCGAGGTTGAACAAGATGATGTGAAAATTACTGAAGCGAATGAAATTGTTATTGAAAAACAAGAAGTCACTAAAGTTCATCAAACATACGCTACAGAGATAAGAGAGACTCATATTACAACTATTGAATCTCCATCAATTGATGAAAAATCTACTGACGTCAAAAAATCTTCATATCAAATTGAAGAGATTAAATACATGACAATTGAGCGTGAAGACTCTGGATTAAATGATATCAAAGAAGAAGATGAATATGGCGTCTCACCACCAAAACATGGTGATAATGAAGAAAAATTGAGCATATCACCTAACTTGCCACCTCGTGCTCGAACACCGGAAGATGTGATGAAAATCGTTAGCAAAGTTGCAGAAGTGTTAAAAACGGACAAAGATTTAGAGGTTTTGGTACCAGATTTTGATGAGAAAGAATTTGAACGACGACTTTCAAATAAAACGGCTGAAGATCATGAAATGGGTTTAGAAGGTTCAACAACAGTTCAAAGAATGTTGGTAACAGCAAGCAGTGAAGATGGAGGTGTTGAAACAGAAATCTGTCCAGAAGGAAGTATCAACTTTATGTCTTCAAGCCCAGAAAAGTCAACAGAAATAAATTCACCAATTAAAGAAAGAGATGAAAAAGATGTTAAGACTCCACCATCATCAGGAAAATCATCTCCTGAATTAAAAACTTCAACCACTTCAGTTGAAGAAAAAGACAAAAATGAGTTACAAGAAAAAGAAACAATTCTCTCAAAATCTCCCGAGACTTTAATTACCAAAATTCAAAAAGAAGATCTTGATAGGTTAAGTGAAATTCGAAGAGAATCTACGACAAGCTTCCTTAGCGAAAAAGATTTCACGAAAGAAGAAAGTTCCATAGTCGTGGAAAAAGTTCAATCACGAAGTCAGTCAATCTCGTCGACAATTTTAGAACTTGAGCATGATGAACAAGAAAAAGGAGACCGAGAAGAAAATCAACAAGACAAAGAAAAAATTGAAGAACGAAAAAAATCAATCGTCTCAGTAATTTCTGATTTGACTTTACAGGAGAAGAGAGATGAATCTCGACCAGAATCAATTCATGCTTCAGAACATGAAAAAGAAATCTTTAAAACCGATGAACGTAAAGAATCGATTGCATCGTTGACATCAGAAAAGAAATTAGATGAACAAAAGGAAGAATCACGACCAATATCTCAGGCCAGTGTAGCAAGCGAGAAAGCTGCTTCAGAACATGAAGACGAAAATTTGAGCCCAGTCAAAGCTGATGAACGAAAGGAATCAATTGCATCGATGACATTAGAAAAGAAATTAGATGAACCAAAGGAAGAATCACGACCAATTTCTGAGGCCAGTGTAGCAAGCGAGAAAGCTGCTTCAGAACATGAAGACGAAAAATTGAGCCCAGTCAAAGCTGATGAACGAAAGGAATCAAATGCATCGGTGACATTAGAAAAGAAATTAGATGAGCCAAAGGAAGAATCACGACCTATTTCTCAGGCCAGTGTAGCAAGCGAGAAAGCTGCTTCAGAACATGAAGACGAAAAATTGACCTCAGTCAAAGCTGATGAGCGTAAAGAATCAATTGCATCGGTGACATCAGAAAAGAAATTAGATGAACCAAAGGAAGAATCACGACCTATTTCTCAGGCCAGTGAAGCAAGTGAGAAAGCTGCTTCAGAACATGAAGACGAAAAATTGAGCACAGTTAAAGCTGATGAGCGTAAAGAATCAATTGCATCGGTGACATCAGAAAAGAAATTAGATGAGCCAAAGGAAGAATCACGACCTATTTCTCAGGCCAGTGTTGCAAGTGAAAAAGCTACTTCAGAACATGAAGACGAAAAATTGAGCCCAGTCAAAGCTGATGAGCGTAAAGAATCAATTGCATCGGTGACATCAGAAAAGAAATTAGATGAATCAAAGGAAGAATCACGACCTATTTCTCAGGCAAGTATAGCAAGTGAGAAAGTTGCTTCAGAACATGAAGACGAAAAATTTAGCCCAGTCAAAGCTGATGAACGAAAGGAATCAATTGCATCGGTGACATCAGAAAAGAAATTAGATGAATCAAAGGAAGAATCACGACCTATTTCTCAGGCCAGTGTAGCAAGCGAGAAAGCTGCTTCAGAACATGAAGACGAAAAATTGAGCCCAGTCAAAGCTGATGAGCGTAAAGAATCAATTGCAAAGAAATTAGATGAACCAAAGGAAGAATCACGACCACTTTCTCAGGCCAGTTTAGCAAGTGAGAAAGTTGCTTCAGAACATGAAGACGAAAAATTGAGCCCGGTCAAAGCTGATGAGCGTAAAGAATCAATTGCATCGGTGACATCAGAAAAGAAATTAGATGAGCCAAAAGAAGAATCACGACCTATTTCTCAGGCCAGTGTAGCAAGCGAGAAAGCTGCTTCAGAACATGAAGACGAAAAATTGAGCCCAGTCAAAGCTGATGAGCGTAAAGAATCAATTGCATCGGTGACATCAGAAAAGAAATTAGATGAACCAAAGGATGAATCACGACCTATTTCTCAGGCCAGTGTAGCAAGTGAAAAAGCTGCTTCAGAACATGAAGACGAAAAATTGAGCCCAGTCAAAGCTGATGTACGAAAGAAATCAATTGCATCGGTGACATCAGAAAAAAAATTAGATGAGCCAAAGGAAGAATCACGACCTATTTCTCAGGCCAGTGTAGCAAGTGAGAAAGCTGCTTCAGAACATGAAGACGAAAAATTGAGCACAGTCAAAGCTGATGAGCGTGAAGAATCAATTGCATCGGTGACATCCGAAAAGAAATTAGATGAACCAAAGGAAGAATCACGACCTATTTCTCAGGCCAGTGTAGCAAGCAAGAAAGCTGCTTCAGAACATGAAGACGAAAAATTGAGCCCAGTCAATGCTGATAAACGAAAGGAATCAATTGCATCGGTGACATCAGAAAAAAAATTAGATGAACCAAAGGAAGAATCACGACCTATTTCTCAGGCCAGTGAAGCAAGCGAGAAAGCTGCTTCAGAACATGAAGTCAAAAAATTGAGCCCAGTCAAAGCTGATGAGCATAAAGAATTAATTGCATCGGTGACATCAGAAAAGAAATTAGATGAACCAAAGGAAGAATCACGACCAATTCCTCAGGCCAGTGTAGCAAGCGAGAAAGTTGCTTCAGAACATGAAGACGAAAAATTGAGCCCAGTCAAAGCTGATGAGCGTAAAGAATCAATTGCATCGGTGACATCAGAAAAGAAATTAGATGAGCCAAAGGAAGAATCACGACCAATTTCTCAGGCCAGTGTAGCAAGTGAGAAAGTTGCTTCAGAACATGAAGACGAAAAATTGAGCCCGGTCAAAGCTGATGAGCGTAAAGAATCAATTGCATCGGTGACATCAGAAAAGAAATTAGATGAGCCAAAGGAAGAATCACGACCAATTTCTCAGGCCAGTGTAGCAAGTGAGAAAGTTGCTTCAGAACATGAAGACGAAAAATTGAGCCCGGTCAAAGCTGATGAGCGTAAAGAATCAATTGCATCGGTGACATCAGAAAAGAAATTAGATGAGCCAAAGGAAGAATCACGACCAATTTCTCAGGCCAGTGTAGCAAGCGAGAAAGTTGCTTCAGAACATGAAGACGAAAAATTGCGCCCAGTCAAAGCTGATGAGCGTAAAGAATCAATTGCATCGGTGACATCAGAAAAGAAATTAGATGAGCCAAAGGAAGAATCACGACCAATTTCTCAGGCCAGTGTAGCAAGCGAGAAAGCTGCTTCAGAACATGAAGACGAAAAATTGAGCCCAGTCAAAGCTGATGAGCGTAAAGAATCAATTGCATCGGTGACATCAGAAAAGAAATTAGATGAGCCAAAGGAAGAATCACGACCAATTTCTCAGGCCAGTGTAGCAAGTGAGAAAGTTGCTTCAGAACATGAAGACGAAAAATTGAGCCCGGTCAAAGCTGATGAGCGTAAAGAATCAATTGCATCGGTGACATCAGAAAAGAAATTAGATGAGCCAAAGGAAGAATCACGACCAATTTCTCAGGCCAGTGTAGCAAGCGAGAAAGCTGCTTCAGAACATGAAGACGAAAAATTGAGCCCAGTCAAAGCTGATGAGCGTAAAGAATCAATTGCATCGGTGACATCAGAAAAGAAATTAGATGAGCCAAAGGAAGAATCACGACCAATTTCTCAGGCCAGTGTAGCAAGTGAGAAAGTTGCTTCAGAACATGAAGACGAAAAATTGAGCCCGGTCAAAGCTGATGAGCGTAAAGAATCAATTGCATCGGTGACATCAGAAAAAAAATTAAATGAACCAAAGAAAGAATCACGACCTATTTCTCAGGCCAGTGTAGCAAGCGAGAAAGCTGCTTCAGAACATGAAGACAAAGAATTGAGCGCAGTCAAAGCTGATGAGCGTAAAGAATCAATTGCATCGGTGACATCAGAAAAGAAATTAGATGAACCAAAGGAAGAATCACGACCAATTTCTCAGGCCAGTGTAGCAAGTGAGAAAGTTGCTTCAGAACATGAAGACGAAAAATTGAGCCCGGTCAAAGCTGATGAGCGTAAAGAATCAATTGCATCGGTGACATCAGAAAAGAAATTAGATGAACCAAAGGAAGAATCACGACCAATTTCTCAGGCCAGTGTAGCAAGTGAGAAAGTTGATTCAGAACATGAAGACGAAAAATTGAGCCCGGTCAAAGCTGATGAGCGTAAAGAATCAATTGCATCGGTGACATCAGAAAAGAAATTAGATGAGCCAAAGGAAGAATCACGACCAATTTCTCAGGCCAGTGTAGCAAGTGAGAAAGTTGCTTCAGAACATGAAGACGAAAAATTGAGCCCAGTCAAAGCTGATGAACGAAAGGAATCAATTGTGTCGGTGACATCAGAAAAGAAATTAGATGAGCCAATGGAAGAATCACGACCTATTTCTCAGGCCAGTGTAGCTAGTGAAAAAGCTGCTTCAGAACATGAAGACGAAGAATTTAGTCTAGTCAAAGCTGATGAGCGTAAAGAATCAATTGAATCGGTGACATCAGAAAAGAAATTAGATGAGCCAAAGGAAGAATCACGACCTATTTCTCAGGCCAGTGTAGCAAGCGAGAAAGCTGCTTCAGAACATGAAGACGAAAAATTGAGCCCAGTCAAAGCTGATGAGCGTAAAGAATTAATTGCATCGGTGACACCAGAAAAGAAATTAGATGAGCCAAAGGAAGAATCACGACCTATTTCTCAGGCCAGTGTAGCAAGCGAGAAAGCTGCTTCAGAACATGAAGACGAAAAATTGAGCCCAGTCAAAGCTGATGAGCGTAAAGAATTAATTGCATCGGTGACATTAGAAAAGAAATTAGATGAATCAAAGGAAGAATCACGACCTATTTCTCAGGCAAGTATAGCAAGTGAGAAAGTTGCTTCAAAACATGAAGACGAAAAATTGAGCCCCGTCAAAGCTGATGAGCGTAAAGAATCAATTGCATCGGTGACATCAGAAAAGAAATTAGATGAACCAAAGGAAAAATCACGACCTATTTCTCAGGCCAGTGTAGTAAGCGAGAAAGCTGCTTCAGAACATGAAGACGAAACATTGAGCCCAGTCAAAGCTGATGAACGCAAAGAATCAATTGCATCGATGACATCAGAAAAGAAATTAGATGAACCAAAGGAAGAATCACGACCTATTTCTCAGGCCAGTGTAGCAAGCGAGAAAGTTGCTTCAGAACATGAAGACGAAAAATTGAGCCAAGTCAAAGCTGATGAGCGTAAAGAATCAATTGCATCGGTGACATCAGAAAAGAAATTAGATGAGCCAAAGGGAGAATCACGACCTATTTCTCAGGCCAGTGTAGCTAGCGAAAAAGCTGCTTCAGAACATGAAGACGAAAAATTGAGCCCAGTCAAAGCTGATGAGCGTAAAGAATCAATTGCATCGGTGACATTAGAAAAGAAATTAGATGAGCCAAAGGAAGAATCACGACCTATTTCTCAGGCCAGTGTAGCAAGCGAGAAAGCTGCTTCAGAACATGAAGACGAAAAATTGAGCCCAGTCAAAGATGATGAACGAAAGGAATCAATTGTATCGGTGACATCAGAAAATAAATTAGATGAGCCAAAGGGAGAATCACGACCTATTTCTCAGGCCAGTGTAGCTAGCGAAAAAGCTGCTTCAGAACATGAAGACGAAAAATTGAGCCCAGTCAAAGCTGATGAGCGTAAAGAATCAATTGCATCGGTGACATTAGAAAAGAAATTAGATGAGCCAAAGGAAGAATCACGACCTATTTCTCAGGCCAGTGTAGCAAGTGAGAAAGTTGCTTCAGAACATGAAGACGAAAAATTTATTCTAGTCAAAGCTGATGAGCGTAAAGAATCAATTGCATCGGTTACATCAGAAAAGAAATTAGATGAACCAAAGGAAGAATCACGACCTATTTCTCAGGCCAGTGTAGTAAGCGAGAAAGCTGCTTCAGAACATGAAGACGAAAAATTGAGCCCAGTCAAAGCTGATGAAAGCAAAGAATTAATTGCATCGATGACATCAGAAAAGAAATTAGATGAACCAAAGGAAGAATCACGACCAATTTCTCAGGCCAGTGTAGTAAGTGAGAAAGTTGCTTCAGAACATGAAGACGAAAAATTGAGCCCAGTCAAAGCTGATGAGCGTAAAGAATCAATTGCATCGGTGACATTAGAAAAGAAATTAGATGAGTCAAAGGAAGAATCACGACCTATTTCTCAGGCCAGTGTAGCGAGTGAGAAAGTTGCTTCAGAACATGAAGACGAAAAATTGAGCCCAGTCAAAGCTGATGAGCGTAAAGAATCAATTGCATTGGTGACATCAGAAAAGAAATTAGATGAGCCAAAGGAAGAATCACGACCTATTTCTCAGGCCAGTATAGCAAGCGAGAAAGCTCTTTCAGAACATGAAGACGAAAAATTGAGCCCAGTCAAAGCTGATGAGCGTAAAGAATCAATTGCATCGGTGACATCAGAAAAGAAATTAGATGAGTCAAACGAAGAATCACGACCTATTTCTCAGGCCAGTGGAGCAAGCGTGAAAGCTGCTTCAGAACATGAAGACGAAAAATTGAGCACAGTTAAAGTTGATGAACGTAAAGAATCAATTGTATCGGTGACATCAGAAAAGAAATTAGATGAGTCAAAGGAAGAATCACGACCTATTTCTCAGGCCAGTGTAGCGAGCGAAAAAGCTGCTTCAGAACATGAAGACGAAAAATTGAGCCCAGTCAAAGCTGATGAGCGTAAAGAATCAATTGCATTGGTGACATCAGAAAAGAAATTAGATGAGCCAAAGGAAGAATCACGACCTATTTCTCAGGCCAGTATAGCAAGCGAGAAAGCTGTTTCAGAACATGAAGACGAAAAATTGAGCCCAGTCAAAGCTGATGAGCGCAAAGAATCAATTGCATCGGTGACATCAGAAAAGAAATTAGATGAGTCAAACGAAGAATCACGACCAATTTCTCAGGCCAGTGTAGCAAGCGAAAAAGCTGCTTCAAAACATGAAGACGAAAAATTGAGCCCAGTCAAAGCTGATGAGCGTAAAGAATCAACTGTATCGGTGACATCAGAAAAGAAATTAGATGAGCCAAAGGAAGAATCACGACCTATTTCTCAGGCCAGTGGAGCAAGCGAGAAAGCTGCTTCAGAACATGAAGACGAAAAATTGAGCCAAGTCAAAGCTAATGAACGAAAGGAATCAACTGTATCGGTGACATCAGAAAAGAAATTAGATGAGCCAAAGGAAGAATCACGACCTATTTCTCAGGCCAGTGGAGCAAGCGTGAAAGCTGCTTCAGAACATGATGACGAAAAATTGAGTACAGTCAAAGCTGATGAGCGTAAAGAATCAATTGTATCGATGACATCAGAAAAGAAATTAGATGAGCCAAAGGAAGAATCACGACCAATTTCTCAGGCCAGTGTAGCAAGCGAGAAAGCTGCTTCAGAACATGAAGACGAAAAATTGAACCAAGTCAAAGCTAATGAACGAAAGGAATCAACTGTATCGGTGACATCAGAAAAAAAATTAGATGAACCAAAGGAAGAATCACGACCTATTTCTCAGGCCAGTGTAGCAAGCGAGAAAGCTGCTTCAGAACATGATGACGAAAAATTGAGTACAGTCAAAGCTGATGAGCGTAAAGAATCAATTGTATCGATGACATCAGAAAAGAAATTAGATGAGCCAAAGGAAGAATCACGACCAATTTCTCAGGCCAGTGTAGCAAGCGAGAAAGCTGCTTCAGAACATGAAGACGAAAAATTGAACCAAGTCAAAGCTAATGAACGAAAGGAATCAACTGTATCGGTGACATCAGAAAAGAAATTAGATGAACCAAAGAAAGAATCTCGACAAATTTCTCAAGCCAGTGTAGCAAGTGAGAAGGCTGTTACAGAACGTGAAAACCAAGAACAAGAATCTCATTTGAGTTCTCCAATTTCTCATTGTGCTATTCTGGGGCAAAAGATTGAAACCAAACCTGTTATTATTGGTTTCATTAGACCTAAATCACCCGCTAGTGATGGTGAAGAAGTTGACTCTAAGGATATTAAATTATATGAGGAAGAGATTGATTCTTATGAATGTCCAAAATCTCCTGGAAGCGTTTCAAGCCAGGTCTCAGAAAAATCTCATAGTGATAAAGAAAAAGAGTATATAGACGTAAATATTAGAAGAAAGTCTTCGGTCTCTGTTGCGTCTGATGTAGAAAATATTGATGAACAATTTTCGAGGCCAGAAACTCCGTTAAGTGCTGGACATGAAGAACAAAATGAAGAGGAAGGAAAAGCCGAAAATGAATATGAAGACAGAAGGGAATCATATTCAAAAACAGAACGATTGCTGGAGTCAAGAAAGGAGGGACAAAAAACTCTCGATGATAGTGTTTGTTCATTTCCGATAAGTAGAGAATTTGATATGACTGAGGATAAAATATTTATGAAAGAATCTCGTTCAAAATCAGTGTCTTCAATCTGCTCTACATCAAGTAGATCAGAAGATTTCGGTAAATTAAGTGCTATTGAAGAAATCATTACATCTTCACGGGAAGACATTAAAACATTCATAAAAACTCAAGAAGATATTTCAAAGGTTTCAACAACACAATACAAACAGTCAACAGAAACAGGGACAGTTCTGAAAAGTTTTCCATTAGAATCTGATAAGTCTGCCCAGATGACAATTTCACATGCATTCCCAATTTTAGATGACAGCTCAAAATTAGAGACCGTATCTGAGGAACTAGTACAAAAACAAACCAAAACAGTAGAAGTCACACAAACGATTACTGAAAGTATAATTGAGAAAACAGAGGGCAAGAAAACTCCGCCAACGGCACCAATTAGTCCAAGTGTTCAAAAAATATCAACTCAAATTACATCACAAGAAAAAGAAATTACAAAATTAGTAGATATATCATGTGATAAGCCATATGAATATTCAACTCCACGTGATTCAATTCATTCAGGTAGGTCAAGTCCAGATAGTGCTGCATCAAAATCAATTGTACTAGGTCAAGGATCAGCTGTTGAATCAACCGAATCATCTCCAAAACCAACATCACCTTTTCCTAAAACAATTGATGCTTTAAGAACAGATGATGATCATAAAACATCATCAGGAATCAGTACACCTGATATGACACGAACATCTACACCTGACACAACAGAGAAATATGTAGAATTAAAGACAAGTTCAGTAAGTGCTATTAAGGAAGAGAAAACAGAATTTATTTCAAAAGTACACACACAAGAATACAGTTATCATGCAGATTCAAAGGAAGTTTTCCCCGACCAGACTTCATATCACACAGAATGGATATCACATAAAAAAGATGATGAAGATAATGCATATGGAACTGCAGAGCAACAGATATACGAAGAAGAATACGATGGTAAATTTTATTATTTTATTTTTTAAATAATTTTATGTACTTTAATTTTTTTTTTATTTGTAGACGATGATGAAATTCCACCACAGTATGACAGTGAAGTAGTTAAGTCCTCATTATTAATCAGTTCAACAGCATTTAAACAATCGGATCCAATGAGTACATCATTTTATGGTGCCCTGCCAGAAACAACAACAACAACAATCGTCACAACAATGACTTCTGAAAATGCTAAATCCGTGCCAATTCCGATAACATCAACTGTCACAAGAACATATACAGAATACACTTCAAGTCCAGAAATAGTCAGTTCTGAAGCATTAAGTAAAAAGTACACAAAATATTTAGATGAAGCAGATTTAGATTTTGAAAAGACATTCCAGCAACAGTCAGTCACAACAACAGTTCAATCCTCATCTTCTGAAATGGCTTCCACTTTATCATCAACATCGTCAACATCAAAAACCACAGCCGAAACATCATCAGATAATAAAGAAAGTACCTCAAATTTAACGTCCACTTCAAGTACAGCCACAACAACAGTTTTAGAAAGTTTAAGTAGTAGTTCTAAAAAAGATGAAACTGAAAAGCTTTGGGACAAGCCATTAGGTATGAGATTAAAATAAGTTTTAATTAAAATTTGAATGAACTTTTTATTTTTTATAAAAAAAAAGGTTTGCCATCACCTGCACCTGAAAATGATGTTCGAACAACCCCAAAGAGAGAAAGAAAGATTATCGCAAATAAGAATAAATTAAATTCACAAAAGCGTTCTCAAAGTCCGATTGCTGGAAAGAAGCTTGCTCCAATTTACATGGACTTAGCATACGTACCTCATCATGGAAATTCATATTATTCTCACGTTGAATTCTTTAAGAAAGTTCGTGCACGCTATTATGTATTTTCTGGAACTGAACCAAGCAAAGAAGCTTATAATGCCCTCCTTGAAGCAAAGCAAACATGGGAAGATAAGAATTTGGGTAAACAAGTTTTGAAGCTGATTCTCCTAAATTCAATATTTTAAATTTTAATTTTTTTTCCTTTAACCAGAGGTAACGATAATTCCAACATATGATACAGATGTTCTCGGATATTGGGTGTCAGAGAATGAAGAGCTTCTTGCAAAATATCACATTGACTTATCTCCATCAGCAGCTCGTTGCACAATAAATTTACAAGATCATGAAACATCTTGCTCTGCTTATCGTTTAGAATTTTAGGCGACGGGTATTTTCGTACAATTTCCCATATTCCTCAACCCTTTAAATATTCTTACAAAAGAAGATGAAGCAACTTGAAGGAAGCATAGTATGAATGAGTAGTAATTTTTTATAAAAAAAAAAATAAATTTCATATTGATTGATGATTTTTTTATTTCTAACCAATGATTGATAGTTGATCAATCTATAGATTACTATAGAGAAATAGTAAAAAAAAAAAAATCTAATAAGACATGACCCAAAAATCAAAACCCCTTTTTATCCAACTCATATAGAATTTTAGTAGTCAGTGAGGATTTTTTTTTATTTATTGTATCAAACATGTTAAAGAATGATAGTCGAGGATGCAGAAATATGTTTTTCAGGTACCTCTTATCAATTTTTAGAATAAACGAGCTTAGTAGTAAACCTATTCTATTGTAGGAATGATAATGTAAGTCAGGCAAATTTAATTTAGTTTCGAGCTCATTTTTATAATAGTTCTCCAAATTTTACTATGATTTTCTATTAAAATGACGATGATGATGCATTTATAATGATAACGGTAGCGACATATGATGGATAATGAAAGTACTGATCTTGAGAGAAATTAAAGTTCTGGTATAAGGTTTATTATTCACAAGAATTTCCAAAAAAGTTTTTCTAATAATAAAATCTCAAAATACATTCATCAAATCCGATCCAATTTTACTAAAAATGAGCAAATGAAGACAACTCATTAATATCATCATGTTAATTTTGTTTTGTGAAATTAGCAATAAAATCATGTAAGCATTTCTCAATAATAATTTTCAATAGAACTAATCGAATTACACTAGTATATCCAAGCAAAGTGGACGTCAGATTTAAGTGAAATTGACCATTTAACAAAACGAGTACAATATTCTCTCAAGATACGTAATATTCATTAAGATGTAGTTTATATACCCAAAAAATAGATTACCATAAACAATGCGAGCAACAAATTGCTCCATTAACAGCTTTTATAGATGCTTATATAGAAAGCATAATGAATGAACATGAAAATTATTCCGAGATTTCTCAGTGAAAGATAGTAAGCTAATTTAATGAATTTACATACGAATAAAATGCCATAAAAGCAGAAATTAAACATTCTTCCCAAAAATAAAATTTTCACTTTGGAATTTATAAAGATCACTATAATAAAAGTTCATGCACATTCATGCTTTACTAATTCATTTTCACAAATCCAAAATATGGAGATGCTCTCATTTGCATAATTAATTATAGATTTTTGAATAGAAACACAAATGATTTGAATCATTAAGTATTAAAATAGTTTACAAAAAAAAAAGGATGAAGAATTAATATTCACAAGTATTCATGCATATTTAAAATTTAATTTAAAGATACAAGCAAAATTAAAACTTTTGGAAAACTAAAAAATGTATAATCATAAGTTTGGATATTACAAAAAAGAGCACGAATTTAAGAGTTTCTAGTAAAAAATTAAAAATGAAAGTCATAACTTTTGGAAATGAAAAATTACTAATTGGTTCAAAAATGAAATAATAAAAAAAAATTATTTAACAAAAGAGACATATTTAATTAAAGTAATTAATTATTGACTCAATGTTACATGTTAAATAGATCAATGAAAAAAGTTTAACAAAAAAGTATTTAAAAAAAATTATCGATTGATTGATAAAATGTGTTGAAAAGAATTAGGTAAGAATAAAATTCATTTCATGATGAAATTATTAATCAATCTGTTGATAAAATTTTTGAGTTACTAGTTCTAGTTTTGACATTCAAAAGAACTTAATTTTCATCTATCAGATGGATTCAGATGGGAAAATAGTTTTTAATATGAAATGAATTTTTTTCTGCAATTAAATGGAAATGATGGGAATGTAATAAAAATGATTATTAAGGACTGGAAATAAAAAAGTTTAAATAATTATTCTTTATGCAAAAATAGGAAAGTAGATAACAGTTTAAAATATTGAGATATTGAATTATTATGCAATACGAAAAAAAAAAATAAAATAAATCATAACAAAAATCCCTCAAAGTGCACAAATCAAGCAACTAATTATCATGGAGTGTTAAAATAGACAGTAAATGGCCATAGAATGATTAAAGAGAATGGACGTTTTATAACGTCCTATGATTAAGAATGTTTCTAGAATATTCAATACTTGTGATACTCACACATTATTTTTCCTGCAAGAAAATTAAGAGACAAACAATAATCGTGATTGTATGGAATATGAAAAAGAAATAAGACACAGGGGAGCGTATTGTGTAGGTGTAAGACACCAAAAACAATTAAAAGAACTCTTTAAGTTTTTAATAATTTTTCAATCGGGTCAATTTGAATTAAGTTTGCTTATTAATGTACGAAGATGTAATAAAAAATGACTGGGTACAATAAAAAAGGATATGAATTAATACTTCAATGAAGAGTGACTATATGCGTGTATAAAATCAGAATTAACAATTGGTAGATAGCATATAAATAAAATGATGATTAATTTCTCATTATTTGCATTTAATAGACAATGAAAATTATGATAAAAATAATTAAAATTAGGAAAACCAGGAAATATGGCCTTTAGTTAGAAATGAGAGGAAGAAATTATTAAGCATTTATTTAATTTTTGTGTAATACGGTATTGATGATGAAATCAAGGGAGTGGAACTGATAAATTACGTTTTGATCATTTCATTAGTTCCACACCAATGAGGATCTTATAGTCTGAAAATCATGAATCGTAGGAGCTTTCCTTATTTACTTAAGATTATAAGAAATGGATGAGCATATAATGAAAATGAATGAAATGAATTACAGCTTTAAAGGGATGAGAACAGTGAAAACATTCTATCATTTTTTAAATGCCACAAATAGATAAGAAAATCCAGTGATTAACGAAAAACATGTTAAACATGCAATAAGCTTTCAATAATTAAAAGAAGATGACAACAGATTGAAACATCACTGGAAAAACAGCAATAATACATAAACGCATTCTTCAAATAACCGATCCCGCTTATGCTTGATACCTTCAATATAAAACTTAACATTATCCCTCAAATAATTTTAAAAAACATTTCATGCACGTAATTTTTACCGACAAATTCTAATAACTTTCTTTTACATGACGACATAAAAACAGCAAAAGTTTTCATCCCTTGGAAAATAAAATTTTCAATTAAAATCTCATAATGAAATATCTTACAAAGGATAAAGTAATAAGAAACGCTTTAAATGTATTCTCTGATTGAATTAATCAAGCAAGATAATATTAATATTATGAGCATATAATCTCCTATAACCATTCAATGAAGCAAAAATGAAAAACTCATCATCTTTTTCACAATTTCTTGATGATTTAACAATAATTTTCTTTCTTGCTAGTTTAAAAATAAACAAAAAAGATAATAAAAGATTTGATAGAAAATAATGCGAAAACTAGGATTGATAGGTGCTAAATGATGATAAACCTAATAAGGACCTGCCTTTTTTTAATAATGAGGAGTAATAAATGGATGTCGTAAAAACTGATGATTGATAAAATGCAATTAAACCAGAATAAAACCCTTGTTGTCACACTCATACAAATGATCATTTTTCTTTGTCATGACAGAGAGTGACAACTGAATGATTTTGGTTCCATGAGGGAGCTTTTTGCTTTTCTTGTCACAAACAATTTTCTTCTTTCAAACATTTTGTTTAACATTTAGAAAACTTTGCTTAAGAAAATGAAGTATTCTAATTAAATCTGATTTTATAATTTCTTCAATGGTTGGCGTCATAAAAAAATTAATTAGTCATTTATGAGAACATAAAACTTTGAGAAACTTTCATCTAGAAGATTTAGAATAAAACATGAAAAATTGCTTAAAAATTATTTAGAACTTAAAAATTGAATTGTTCCAAAGAATATTACTTGCAAGTTTACTTAGTGTAAAATTTTGAGGAGTTTCGAAAATTCATCCTGAATTTCTTCTTAAAGAAATATGAAAAAAAAGATTAAAAGTTCATAAATTATTGAAAGAAATTTTTTAATAAAATTTTTCAACAAATTTTCTGCACGAAAAGTTTATTTTTATATGAAATGGAGAAAATTGACCATAAAATCGGTGAGGAAATGGAAAACTTAAACAATTTTTTTCAGACTAATTAAAATTTAATTTTCGACTGCAGAAAATTTGTGGAAAAATGAATTTCTACACTATAAATTAGTAATTTGCTTGAAACTTTTCTGAATTTATCTTTGAAAAAAAAAATATTAAAACTTTCTTCTTAGCTTTGATGTTGAACTAAAAAGGAAATAAAAAAATCTTTAAAAGTATTTAACAAAAATAAAGTTTATTAGCAAACCTGCTGAAATTTGCATTAATATCATATTTATTCTCAAAACAAAAAAAATTATGATGTTATTCAATGTAATAATGGAAAAAGAAAATCAAATAAAAACTTCAAAATGTCTTTAAAAAAAATTTCATTTTATTGATAAGTAAAGAAAAAATAAAGTTTTAGGTGTGTTGGAAAAAATGCTGCTAGCCAAGTTTTATTTAAACAATTTCAAAAGTAAGTCATATATTAATACACATTATTTTCTTCCTAAAAAGTAAAGCGTCTTCCATCATGCGCTGTTGGTGTGATGGGAGAGCTAGTGGGGATATTTTTTTATTACTGCAAAATTAAAATTTTAATTCAAGAAAAAACCACTATATTTAATTTTTCAGTATTAAGTGATCATAAGTTGACCAGTTGAGTTGTACGAATATGATGAAGAAAAAAATGTTGAGTGAGTACAAACAGCAGGCCAGAGACGATGAAACCTCACACATTATATTTTTGTTTGTTTCGTTTCAATTTAATATGAGCAGTTGTTACTCCAATGCTCTTCACATTTCTGAAATCCTAGTATCAACCGGACGAAAAACAGTTTGTTTTCAAAAAATTTTCTCATATAAGCATTATACGGCAGGCGACAAAAACGGTTCATCGTTTCTCATACTAAATGTATTCGATGTGAAAATTAGCCAAATGGTCATCGGTATAATTTAAAAATTTGCATTTGTGCTGTTCTGAATTTTTTTTTTCAATATTAATTTTTTATATATTTTAATTTAATTTTTAAGGCACAGCAAGGAATAATTTTTCTCATTCATTTAATGCAAAAATACTGAACCTTATCTCCCGAAATATTCATCTATACATTTTACATTCGATTGATGCAAGAAGAGATTTATTTTGAGAGAGGAAAAAAAAAACACAGTTACAGCTAGTGTGATGTGAAAGCAAAGTCATCAATATTTGTGTATACATATCAAGTGATGGGAAAATATACAGTCAGTAACAATAACAGTTACATGCACTTAAAAATGCATTGACGATCGGCATGCAATGAGCTTACTTGCGCATTATATTCTATCCAATATGAACTCCTAATCCATTGCTGTAAGTTTTTTTCATTTTTCTCGCTGAATTTTCCCAACCTTTTTTAATATTTTCAAAAAGAATTATATATAAAGTAAATGAAACTTCTTCAAAAGTCTACTTTTGACGCGATGTGTCCAAAAATGTTATGCGGCCGACGGTGATAGGCAAAAAGGTATTTCCCCAAAAGTAAAGTACATTTGGAATAATTCGCGGCTTGATGTTTTTTAAATACCAGGCATACATGAGAAACAGCACATGAAATTTTTCTATATGATGGAATTTTTTCGTCTTGTGCGTCGAACTGTGCGCAGAAAACCAGTATAAAATCAAAGAATATGATGCGCGCTTCTAGACTATAGACTTTTAAGTATAAGAAAATAGACATGCGGACATGCGGTTAGCTTAAAAAAATTGGGACCAATGTCAAGGAAACACCTTAGTATGTGTCTCGGCGACTTTGCTCTACTGACATTGATGTTGGCAATGAGACTTTGCTTTCCCAAGGATTTTCTCAATGCCACAGCTCAGGGTGACGTTCAGTTCACATCGTAAATATGAGAGAAGCAAAAATCCTTGAAACATTTAGAACTTCAATGATACCGGGTTGTAAGAACATTTCGCATCATCATACTGAATTTTTTTCTTCTCTTACTGTTGGCTGTATATTTCATTTTACGCATTCAATTTTAACAATATTTCAGAATATTTTGCAAGTTTTTTTTCTCCTTCTCTTTTTCTCTTATACATCAAGAATGAAGCAAAGTCTTATGGAAATAAACGAATATGTCGAAAGATTTCTCATTTGTGTATAGATAAACAGCAAAATTAAAAGTCTACTTTTTCACTTTCGTTTTTTTCTTGTTCAGTCTTCTTGCTACTTACCACCAGGCTCACATGAAATTGAGCAATACAATCTTATTCCCTTTTTCTTTTTCCCTTCACAACTGAACGTTTTTACTACGACTGGTAAGAGAAAAAAAACACAGAGAAGAAAATTTTTTATTTTAGTTTCACTACTCACGAGAATTGCTGCTGTGTTGAAAACAAAGATTTGAAGCAAGCCTCGTTTGCTTGAAATGTATACAAAAAATCATTTTATATGGAATAATAAAATTGCATATTTGTCACTACAATATTTTTATTCAAGCTTCTTTCAGAGGTATAATGGATTTGGTTGTCCTTGGATTCGAAATGAAATGGATTAATAGGAGTACATGAAATGCAGCAGGTTTCGTTGGTAGAAAAGATTTTCAAAAGATGATGAACAATATAAAAGTCACTATATCCATGAGCCAACGGATGATTCTATTGAATTTTATGAAAACTCAATACAGTCTTATAAGACTAATGTGGTGCCATCTATTGGAAAATTTCCATTCACAATTGGCTTCGTTTTGAATTAATTTTGACGGTTTATAAAAAAATCAACATAATTTGAAATATTTTATCATTTTAAAAAAATATATTATATATTTTACTAGTCAGTAAAAAGCTTTTAAGCTTGGCGAAAAACGCGTTAAAAATAAAATTGGTAAAACTTGCTGAGAAGATTAGAACAAAGAAGTCACGATTGGGAAAAAATATAATTATATTATCTCCAAAACAGAGAAAGTAATTTGAAGTGGGGATTTCTTAACTCAATAAATAAAATTTTATTATCATTCATAGTCGTTTTAAAGTCATTATATGATAGAGTGAAGTTAAAAAGATGATAGAGAAAAATAAAAGTTTTATTATTTTTATAGCTTTATCTCTTATCCTAGCATTTTCAATTCATTTATCCTTGAGCTTTGAAACGAGTGATGATATGAAGAATAATTCAATAGTTCCAAAACATAGAGCAAAACGTTATTTATTGTTTCAAAATAATTCAAGAATTTTGGTGCGATTAAATTACTTAATAAACTTTTTCATCACTTGATTAATGACAAAAGAATATTAATTAATTTTTGAATATCTAGTTTCGTGTCAACATTAAGGATAATATTATCAAAGTTAATCAAATTTTTGGACATGGATATGGATTTCGTGCTAATATTGATATACTTGCACCGCCTCTTCCGCATCGTCATGCTCATAGAGCCAAACGAAGCTATATTTATCAAACTATAGAGCTAATGATGACCCAGTAAATTCCATAATATTTTTTTTATTTGTTTAGATATAATTAATTTTTATTTTCTTTAATAGGCAGGGATTTGACGGCAAAGCGTGCATTTATAAAATGTTTTGTGATGCTGTAAAAGAAAATGATGAGGAAAACGGGATGTTTTCAAAACTTTTCAAATTAATTTTTACGTGAGTTGAAAATTTCATTTACTTTTTCTGCCTTCTTACTTCTCTGCTTTTCAAAATTTCAAAATTTTTATTTTATAGACATAAAGGCATGACTGAATATGGAGGGGTAAATATACCAATCTTGTTATCTAAGGGTTGCCGATATCTTGAAGATTACTGCCCTTTGACATCACTTACTTTATCACCATACACTGATATTTAAATTTTAAATTGCACAAAATAAAAAAAAAAGAAAAAAAATTAAAAAAATAATTTTACTTAATCAATTAAAATCTTAAATTAAATATAGCTTTGTTAAAATCACTATGTTATCATTTTCATAATAAGCCTCATTCTGTTTTATACATTCACACATCTTTAGCTATAGAATGTTGTTGAAAAAGCAATTGTAATACAACGAATACATTCAAATATTGTTGAGTAGGGATGTTAATAGAGTAATTGAATACAAGAAAATAGTACGCATCATTTTCAAGTACAGCGTTGCAATAAGAGTGTTTACATTAAAATAATTTTTTAAAGGCTGTGATAAAAAAATAAATGAAATGGAAATATTACAAAACTCGCATTTGTTTCTATTTATCATCATTATAATAATTTTGAATTCTAATCAAGTAGATTTGTCAAAACATGAAGTATTTACAAATTCTACAATGATTGTAAAACATCGAATGAAGCGACAGTTAGTATTTCAACCTGGTACGAGAATTATGGTAAGGAAGTTTATCACATTCATATTCGGTTCCTTATCGAGAAATTTTCTGCACGTTACATTGTTTGACTTTACAGTTCCGTGTGAATACTAAAAATAATATTATCAAAGTCAATCAGATTTTTGCACATGGATTTGGATTTCGTGGCAATATAGATTTGACTCAGCCTGATAATATTAATCTCCTAGCACCAGAGCATCGCATGAAGAGGAGTGTCACACGAAGAGAGGTTTATGAGACTATTGGGGAATTAATGAATCAGTTAGTGATACAGACTAAGATTTAATCATATTTTTTTAAAAAAAAATTATTATTATTCTGCAGGTTTGGTTTTGATGGTCGCTTGTGTATTCAAAGGATGATCTGTAGTGCAATTCATGACATTCCGTTGTCAGCTAAAGGAATTTTTTCAAAAGTGTTCAAGTTAATTTTTACGTAAGTTTTTCTTGGATGTTAAAAGTTTAAATAGATGTTAAATTTTCGATTTTATAATGAAGGTAAATCCAAACTAGAGTGAGAAAAATTCAATTAAACTTTTTCTACAATAAGTCCGTCTACAAAAAAAAGTATCTTGATATAGAATACTCCCAAAAAAGTTTGACACAAGCTCTTTATTCCCCTCTCTTTTTTTCATATTATAAACAATCCATGAAATGAATAAAATGGAATTCTTCATTCCATTATCTTTAAATTCCAAAAAATATATACATACAAAAATTTAAATTTTAAGTTCCGGAGGGCAAAAAATTGTTTAGAAAGGAACGTGAAAGGTTCAAATATGTATATTTATAGACAAAGAATAAAAGAGTTAAAGCTTCAAAGCACGGAAATATCTCCTTAATTAAAATTCACTTTATCATCCTCTCCATGAATCAATTCAATTTACCATTAAGGGAAAAACAAAAGAAAAAGCAGAAATAGCATTTGAGGTAGAGAAAAAGTAGTTTGGATAATGATGATCTGTAGAAAAAATAAGCGTTACTAAAAAAGTCGAAGCACGAATATGTTTCGGATGGTAGAAACTTACGGGAAAGATATAGAACAGAATACAATGAGTGAAGTATAAAGCTGAACAAAAACTGAAGGGATGATAATAATAGATATGAAGAGCTTGATTCAGAGAAAGAAAAAGGATCGGAAAAGAAAAAGGTGAAGTTTTACTTCTGCTTAAATTACAAGAATTTCAATTTGATACGTTAACACAACGAGTTAAGGGAATAAAAGCTTGATATCTGATATTGCAATTAAAATAAATTTCGACAGTACGAAAGGATATCTTTAAACTTTTAGCATTTGTTTAAACTTTTAATTTAATTATCGCTATTATTGTTTAACATTCTCTCTTTGCTCAAACATAATTTGCAATTCAAATGATTTATGTCTGTACAGTACATTATTCAATATACATGATTTTATATTCGCAGTAGAGGCCAGTCAACAAAAGGCTTATGGAGTGACGATGAAAAAGATTATCCATATTTATCCTCTGATGATTGCAGTAAATTACTACATCATTGCCCCTTACATCTATTCGATATATCTCCATTCACCGACATATGATAATTATATTAGATTAAATTATTGTTAGCATGCATTCATAAATATTAATGTTTGATCTATCATGCTATAATAAGTCAATCAAATGGTTCAATAAAAAAATCAATTTATGAACCATAATTCAGACTTTAAAAAATTTCAAATATGTTTTTTTTATATATTTTTTAATAATTGTATTTTAATCAAATCTGAAAACTGTATAAACCACCTTCATTTATGGTGTCAAATAATACAGATCCCATTAAAATTTGATAAAAATAATAATTTTTTAAGAACGCATGTAAAACCAATTCAAAAACTCGCAAAACAATTATTTTATCGAAAAACTTTCATTTATATTAAAAATGTCACTATTAATTTTATTTTAACTTAACATTTTTCAAACCAGTATGAGAACTGTAAACAAAAAAATTGAAGTAAAATTTTATTTTAAAACATTGTTCATTTTTATTTTAGTAACTACGATTGTCATAGCTAGGTAGGGGGTCCGATGCTTAATAATGGGGTAGTTTAATCATTAATGTACCGTTAGAACTCATGATTATTGCCTGTTAGAAAAGCAAAAAAAAATCCCTTTATTTTTTTCTGGCTATGCCCTTCTTAACTATTAAAAATAATCAATAGTGTACAGTAATTTAAAAATATTAATAAAGTTATTGTTTATTTGTTTTATATCAATATCTGGTATTAATTGATTTTGTAATGTAAAAATATTTATGGAAATGATTGTTTAAATAATGATGAGCAGCATATTATGGATTAATATCAATTAATATTAAATTCAGAATCGATTCAATTTAAAATTGACAAATTTGAATGAAAATATCGTAAAGTGATCATTTTGAGCATCGTCAAGGTTTTGAAAAATTATTTCATTAGTGTAAATAAGCCTCAGATTTTTATTATTCAAAATTTATTTTATTTTAAACTCATTGTAAATTTTTTCTAACTTTCCACACCAAAAAAAAAAAAATCCTTGGGTGGAAACGAAGTCTATTTGCATTGCATTAAAAATTAATACAATAGAAAAACGGATAATTAAGGTTAAGAGCTTGAAGGTGGTGAAAAATTTATTCTTTAATGATGTCTCGATAGACACGATGGTAGAAAGAACGAGCTTGAAGCATTTGCTTTATTTGGCATTTTCTTTCATCTCGTAAGCATTCAACGGTGTTAATAATTTATCACTATGCAAAGTGGATAGGTTTGAAGACTAAAAAGTGGAACAAGGGAGATGAAAAAGTAAAATGTATGAATGAGCTGATGAAAATTTCATGGAAAAACTTAATATAAACATTTACTGTCTGACATCAATTTTGATAATGTTTGTTGGTGTTCCCATTCTTGTCTATCTCGTCAATTCTATTGAGAGTGATGGCATTACTAAAATATTTAATTAATAATTCATAACATTTCTATGTAAAACATGAGTTCATAGGAGGATAGTCAAAAATGTTAGACATTTATTTCCATGAATTTAAAACACGTCAAGAAAACATTAATTGAATCTAAGAAAAATCTTTGCGTAAAAACCTGTACTAATTCTAATGAAAAGTTTTCGTGTCAACATTCTGTTCTATATACCACAATCATTTATGATATCTGTTCACTCAGAATTATTTCACACAAAAGGAAAATAAGTAATGAACAACCGAATGCTACTATTTTATGTCTCATCATCAATTCTATTTCTCTCGTCTTTCACTTCCTAAGAATATGTATATAATCTCTATTGCTGATTCTATGTTTCATCCTTTCTTTATTTATACAATAAAAATAAAACATAGCAATGAGAATAGAGTGAGGAAAGGAAGAAAAAGTTATAAATATTTCACTAGGTGTAGTTTTCTGTTGAGCTCATGTGTAGCAATGGTTATAGGTGAATGTCAGTCACCTTTTCATATTCTTAAACTTTTCTGCTTTTTTCGCTTTATCTTGTCCTTTATTTTTGAAAATCCTCAAAACCTTTATTTTGTAAAAATCATTTGAAGGTCTGTTTAAGAAAGAATTTCTTTATAGTATTTGCAGGGGTATGCTTAAAACTAAAGAGTAAGTCAATCTGATGGGAAAATTTAACGAAATTATGTCGATTCCAATTGAAGGTATTAGTGCCAATTTTACAAATTTTGCTAAAAGGTACACATTAATAATAATCAAATTAATTGAACTAAAGTCTTTATATTGTTGTGCAAAATTAAAATGCCAACAAATTATGAGTTGATTTTTGAAAAATGCGAAATTAGCTATTTGAATTATTTGTATTCAAACAATATTTTATGATTAATGACGATGATATAATAAATAAATAATTAGTTGTTACCATTAAATTAATTTTACTATTTTAATTGTCATGACATTTTGATTTTAAAAAATTGTTTGATTTTACTTCCAGGAATTCATTTTAATATTTAATAATCAGTTGTAAAATTTTTTAAAATGGTTGATAATCAATTTATATTAAAAGTTTTAAAGAAGAAGTTATATATAAAAAGAACTTTAAATGAAATAAAAATAGCAGATCAAAAACAAAATTCAGTGCAGTTCATTGACTTTAAAAGCAAAATTCAGGTTCTTGTCGATTCTAGGTTATATCAAGAAGGTGTAAAAATTAGCACCAAAACGAATATAACTTAGAAAAACATGAGCTAGTTATTTTTATAAGTATTTGTGAATAACACACATTTAAAGAGAAAAAAGATTAAAATTGATTCCCTCACGGTTGTTCCACTTCTATTTTTATTAAGGTTGTATTTCAAATTATTTTGATTACTCCCGATTATCCTCGTGAAAATTTAAGGCTAATAGCAATTGAAATCAAAAATATTTATAAGTGGTTTATGATTTGAAATAGTTTTCATTTTAAAATGTATTTTTATTTGATTTTTAAATTTTCGACATTTTGCTTTCAATGACTTGTCCCGTTACCTAATAAAAATCACAAGTGTTGCTACAATTACACTCTCAATTGCTAGTAATATTGTTCCCTTTTCCCCATTTAAACATGTAAATGTACAAGTAAAATTTATAAATTGAAGAATAATTCAACAATGCAGTTTGACAAAAAAATATTCAGATCCAGTAGTACTTTTTTTATGTTCTGTTCTCTTCTGTTTTTTAGAGTGGAAAAAAATCCAAAAGCGAATTTAAAAGTGTTTCTGTCTTTTTGGACTAAAATTGTCGAGGTTTTATTGCTAGGAATAAGTGAAATTGCAATAAAGATGATGAAAGTGCTTTCAAACGAAAAACATTTGATTTCATTAACAATAGGATACGAATAAAGCTTTAATCAATGCCTTTGTAGAATTATTCATCCTATGAAATTGTGATTTTTAACTGCAAATGTTATTTAAAAAAATGGGAAAATTTTTGATGCAAACATTTTTTATTATTTTATTATTTCATTTATTATTAATCTGTGAATGCAAAAGTAATGTCAAAAAAGTTTCAAACCTCAGTTCTGTGACATCAAATAATGAGATTGATTGTGAAACCGATGAAAATACAGAAAATGAACTACTGTCAAGGAAAAAGCGAGCACTTACATTTCCTCCAGGCAGTTCCTTGCAGCTAGGTACGTGAATATCTTATACATTGTATTGATAAAGTCTTCATTCAGGTTTTATTTCTTTTCTTACATAACAATTCTCTAGTTATCACTAGTTTATTTTATAAAAGATATAAAATAAATTTTGCTACAGAGTAATGCAAGAAATTGAAACTTGATTTTTTTTCGCAATTTTATTCTCTGCTGCATTTTCTTCATTTCATGCTGCTTGTGTAAATTAAATTTAAATTGCACTCAAGGAATCACTTATTCAGAAATAAAAATGTGAATTCAGATTGGAAAGATATGAAAAATGTCAATGAAATTTCCACTCAATAAACCCTGATTGAATTACTTCTGACTCCATCGAATGGCTCAAAGATATAGAAAGGGAATACTTCCTCATATTTCCTGTAATGCTCACCAATATTAGAGATGAATTCGAAAGGATAAAAAACAGGAAGGAAAAATTCCAAATTTCCGTTTTTCATCCAACATTCAAATATTGCAGTTCTACTTGATGCAACTCTTTTCAAACTTGATGAACAGAAAAATTGAAAATCATTTGAGAATACTTGAGTATATTCCTCATGTCATACAAAACGTAGCACGGGCGTTATCAATGAAAGAACCTTTAAATTTTTTTCTGAAAAAACTAGCTTACAATTTTGATGACTAAATGGACATAAATTAAAATTATTTTCCAATGTTGAATAGCCAATTTTCTACTTCAATTGATTCAACCTTGCCTTGATAATATCATGCTTTCATAAACACAAAGAAAAAGTGAACAAAAAACATTTTAAAAAAGTAAGAGAAAGCATTGATCAAGTTCTGTATATTGTTCACTTTTTCTGTTCAGCAACTTCTCTCAACACATCGTGTGATTTTATAAAAAAAAAATTTAAATTAAAAAATTCTATTTGCATAACATAGAAATGTTGGCATTAACATTGTATACGACAAACGCAAGAATTTTTCATGCTTTTTACTGATTTTTACATGAGAAATTTCATCGTCGTTCTCCTTGCTTTGAATTGTTTGTTAAGAAAGTATAAAGTATACAGAAAGCAAGTTAGAGACGGAAAAATTAAAAAAGAAATAAAATGAAAGTCGACATATGTGCCATAACAGCATCCTTTTATTGTTAAGAAGAATGTATGAATGATGAACTTTAATAAGTGAAAGATGAAGAGAATAAAAAAGATTGTTTGTAATTGCTCTAATTATTTAATTTTTCATTTCGCCTTAGAGCTCTACGAAATATAAATAGAGAACTGAATAAAATGACATACATGTAAACTTTTACAATGTTGTGTGAAAAGATAAAGAATATTATGATGATTTGGATGAAGATAGTTTTACATTTTAATTGAAAAATTAATTTAGTTTCAAGAAAAAACTCATGAAAGAAATTTTTGCGCAATTATTCAAAAACATTTTACGAAACTGTTAAGACAACATGTGCTGAGAATTGAAAAAAATTCCATCCTAACTTTACACACATTAGAATTTATCCTTCAAGCATGGAACACTAAAGAAATGCTATGAGAAATTCCTTCCTTTGCCAATATATTCATAAAAGGAATAGCAAGAATCTCTTTTAAATATTTTGTATTCTTTGTTTGCCTTATGGGCATGTTCTGTTGTTCTTGTATTGTTTTGTAAAGCAAAGGGTATGTGATGTTGAGTATGTAATAGAATCAAAATTAAAGCTTATATTTTCTTAGTAATAGCTTTAAGGACAATTGTAAATCTTTGAGAATGTTGATCAACAATGCTAGAATAATTAACTTTTATAGTTACTTAAATCTTTTATAAAATTATAGAGAACAATTTAAATAATAATCAGAAATTCATCAGAATTTTTCAAAACCAAATTCAATAAAATATTAATTAAATAATTTTTTGCAGCATATGACCAGACAATGCCTATAGCTGCCGCACAATTATTATTCACGGTTGGTGTAACTGTTGCTTTAGCATTTGAATTGCCAGATAAACCAATTGGTCGTATTACACAAGAGCTACGAGACAGTTTGCAAAAACGTTTACATCCTTCATCAACAACAGCTGCTCCAGCAACAAGCAACGATAGTGATAGTGATCATAGTCGAATAGATTACAACAGTAATAATTTGAAGTACATTTACAATAATAAGCAAACATACTATAACAGTATGAATAAGCACAAATATTATTATGGTAATTATGGATTTAAGGATAGGATAGATGATAACAAATCTTTAACGAATAAAACTACTAGTAACGATAACGACGTTGAATCCAAGAAAGTAGTGAAAACGTATGTAAAGATTTTTTTTATTTTTCATCATTTAATCATTACTTTTAAAATTCCAGCTATACAAATAAGGATGGTCAGAAAGTTATCACAATGAAAATCAAATATGGAAAGAAAAAACAGAAATTGGGCAATTTATTTTTAAGAAAACACAATCGAGTTTATCCAGTGTTTGGAAAAAGAAGCATAGACGATAATCTAACGCATGATAGAATTTTCTATTTGGATCATCATCGAAATTCGCGATTTGATGTTTATGAAAAGATTGAAAATTTCCTCATTGGGTAATTTAATATTTTCTTGCAGATTTTATCTTTGAGTTTTGAATATTTTGATCGATTTAAAAAACAGGCAAGGAAAAAACGGTACAGGATGTGTGTTGCGAGCACTTTGCGAGACTGCACAAAAGAACCAGAATGCTGAGAAGGCGCCATTTTTAATTGAAATTCTACGAGCAATTTTCACTCTCCCGCATCAAGTTGTGCCTTATAAGAAGAGCTCTCATCATGTTTATGATGATGCTCATTCGAATTTGACTGGTGACTGTGCAGAACTCTATCCGCAATGTAAAGACAGCATATGGTCTTCGGACTTCCGGTTTTAAAGGAATTTGGATTTGACCTTAATTAATTAAAATATCAATTAACAATTTAAAGTTTAAAAAATAAATCTAATTCAAGCTTAATTAGTATCAAAGAGAAAAAATTTTTATTTTAAAATTCATCGTTCTCTGGCGCAAAATAATAGCTTTAACTACAACTCATTCCCACTTGACTGCTCCATTACACTCTTTCTCTTTTCAACATTGTTGCTTTAAATACGAAAAGCTATTGTTCTCCAGCATAACGCTAATGAATGTGTCATTCACGCGATTCTTTTGTTCCCATTTGTTAGATTTGTTTTTCTAGCATTTACAATAAAAGAACAAAATAGTTAAGATGAGCAAGTGAAAATTATTGATGGAAGAAGCAGTTTAACTATGCAGTTTAATGAAAAAATATTCAGAGCCAGCAGCAATTTTTATTTTTTGTTCTCGTCTGTGAAAAAAAATATCAGAAAACAAACTTTTAAAACAGGAGATTTAAAAAAATTGTTGCTCTTGTTGAGGCTTTTCAATTAATTGCAAAAGCAGAAAATAAATACAACAAAATGAACTAGCTTCAATAAAAAAAATTGTTTTTTAATAAAGTGAAAAAAATTCACAGAGTGTAAGAAAAAAAAATATTCCGAAAATAAAACTTAACTTTTTTTGTGAAAATTATTATTTTTTACATATAGCTTCAACTTTTAAAATTAATCGCTGCTCTAGAAACCGAACCTTAAATTATAAACTAATTTATTTATAACATAATATTAAAAATTATGTGGAATATTAAAAATACAATCAGAGCTACAAAACTAGTCTTATTCATCATTATAATCCTAGTATATCTTTTACCAAATCATCAATGCAACAGTCAGGAATCTTTTGAAGAACATGATGTTGATTCAAATACTGAAATTGTTTATATTGAAGACGATGATGATCATGATGTTGAAGATATAGGAGATATTCCATTATCCAGGAAAAAGCGAGCACTTACATTTCCTTCAGGAAGTTCCTTACAACTGGGTAAAAAAAAAATAAAAGTTCATGAAATATTTTTTTAATTTCACCATTTCATGATACTTTCAGCTTATGATCAAACTATCCCGATTGTAGCTGCGCAGATGTTGTTTACCATTGGCGTAACGATTGCTCTTGCATTTGAATTGCCAGATAAACCTATTCATACAATAACTGATGAATTGCGACAAAATTTTCAAGAACGGTTGCATGGAAAGACAACAACAGCTGCTCCTGAAGTAGATTATAATAGTACTGATGACCACCACAGCCGAATAGACTATAATAGTAATAATTTAAAATATGTCTATAATAGTAAAGATGCATATTACAATATGATGAATAAGCATAATTATTATTATGGTAATCAAGGATTTAAAGACCGAATTGATGATAATCAATCAACAACAAGTAAACCGACAAATACCACAAATGGAGATATAATTTCCAAGCAAGTTGTCAAAACGTAAGTGTTTATTTAATTCTCATAAATATTCTCGGCATGAAACTTTGGAGTTTGATTGATTGTTACGACGATGCAATATAAAAACCACAAAATCTGAAAATTTATGGAACTAATCATGCTACGGACATTTCAGTGTCGAATTTTTTCGACATGTGTAAATTTAGTCGACCTAGTGTTTGAATATTTTAAAATTCAAAGGTTTTTTGAAATTCAAAGCAAAAAATAACGGATTTTTCGACGTGTCCGTAGCATGGAACTAATATACTCTATCTTGTATTGATTTTAAATACCCCAATTCTCTATAAATAACAGACACATGAACAAGGATGGAAAGAAAGTGATAACAATGAAAATTAAATACAATAATAAGAAGAAAAAATTGGGAAACTTGTTTATGCGAAAACATCATCGCGTATATCCTGTATTTGGTAAAAGAAGCGTTGATGATCACATAACACACGAAGATTTATTTTATGTTGACCATCATCGAAATTCTCGATTTGAAGTGTACGAAAAAGTTGAAAACTTTCTCAATGGGTAAGTTGAAAAAAACTTCTTAAATTTTATTTAATATACATTTTATAACAGACGAGAAAAAGATGGCACAGGATGTGTGTTGCGAGCACTTTGCGAGACTGCACAAAAGAACCAAAATGATGAGAAAGCGCCATTTTTAATTGAAATTCTACGAGCAATTTTTACTTTACCACATCAAGTTATGCCTTATAAAAAGGACTCTCATCACTTTTACGATGATGCTCATTCGAGTTTGACTGCTGACTGTGCAGAACTCTATCCGCAATGTAAAGACAGCATATGGTCTCCAGATTTCCGTTTCTAAAAGATTTGTTTTGTAAAAAAAAATGATTTTTGATTAAAATAAAATTTCTCTTTTCTCCTCAAATTGAATTTTTTCCACATTTTCTGCTCTATTTTAGCTTTATTTACCAAAAAGTCGGATATAAAAATATGATAAGCGTTGTGATGAATATTTTTATATAGCCCTTAGCTAAGAAAAGGCTTTGTTTTTTATTTTCGAATTGTTGCTCCATACTTATTGAAGATATTCAGAGCAGACAGATATGTATCAATATGCCAGATGTTGCATCTTACATTTTTTAGCATAATAATGTCCAGATATTTTTTATGTTTCCTAATTTTCATCATTCTATTTATATGGAACCATTAAATTGATTTACTGAAAAATTTGTTAAAAAATAATTTTGTAATGTAAAGTTTTTGTAATCCAAAACCTATTTTTTTGTCTTGGTTACTGAAAATAATTTAATAAGATACAAAGATTTAATACAAAAAGAAACAGTAAATCTGTTTACACGTGTCGGTTGTGATCGACAGAGTTAAAAATAGAAGATAGCAAATTTATCGCTATAGGGCACTAAAACCTTTACGAACATTATAATTCATCTACGATAACAACCTTTTATATTGTGATTTTTGGTTGAATCCGTTGAATATTCTAGAATCAATGTATTAAGTCTCGTAAATTATAATTAGAATTATATTCTACCATTAACTGTTACATTTAATTAACGCTTGATGTGGTTTGTTAAACGTGCACTCAAATGCCTTTACACATTCTCTTTCAAGTTTGTTCTAATTTCAATACACAGGAAGATTTTATTTTCATGACAGATTCTGATTTAGACAACTGTGTTCAGGTATATGAAATTCTTTGATGTTCGCGATTCTTTGTTGCTTTGCATCTCTTTTGGATTTTTATATTCGTTTTAAATTTTGTGGATTAATTATTTCAAGTTTTCAATTAAAATAAAAAAAGAATTTGACAGCTATAATTGAATTAATTATTTTGAATGCTTTAGCATTTTTAAAGAAACTTAGTTCAAGAAAATCAATAAAAAAGAGATTGGGATCTTGAAAGAAGTTAAATTAAAAGTTTAAATAAAGTATCAACATCAATTGACACCTTTCACATTCTTTCCAGTTATACACTTTGCGCATACAGACAGAGTAATGCGTGAATGTGTTCGGATATCAAACAGAACAAAAAATCTAAGGCGAACTCATTTTTTTTATATATTTTCGAATCATCTCATCTGCTTGTTGTCATCATACAAAACATTCTTAAGATTGCGTGGTGAAAACTTTTTCGATTTACTTTCCTGAATCAGCAACAAAATAAGGGAAAAAAAAGCTAAAGCAAGAAATTTTAAAAAAATATATAAGTAAAGTGTACTTCAATCAATTCCTGTCAAGCATCTTCTCTTTTTATTAAAGAAACAGAAACTTTTTCGTCACTGAGGAATCGATTCTAGTTCGGCATGTACAGATTGTTATATTGTGTGGCATATAATTTGTGAAAAGTTGTGGCATTTTATTTCACTTTTGCTGTAACTGGAGTTTATGTTATCTGATATTGAAAAGGAAGTGAAAAAATTAAAAGACTGAAATAGATAGTGAATGAACCAGTGTAAATTATTTTAAAGTGAGTGAATTAAAGTTACAATCAATATTTTCGTCTTGATTGAATTCAGTAGACATGAAGAACTGGATATAAAATTTAATAAAAAAGATTTCATTTTTAAGACATTTGTGGATAAGAAATCACTCACTTTTGAAATGCTTAAGTTAAATGAAATCATTTTCCTTACATATAGATATGTACCCTTTTCAATTTGTCTATTCCATAAAATACAATTTCTTTGTTATCCTTTTCACACTCATAATTTCATGTCTTCTTTTTTCCATTTACATTTTATTTTTTTTATTCTATAGAAAGACTATTCGTGCTTCGGAAATAAATTATTGAGTTTGAAAGTGAAATAAAGTATTTATTTCTTCTTCATCGTCACTTTAGTAGACATTTTTTTCCTCTCCTTTTTAAGAAAGAAAAAAAAAACTCAATTGTAGAAAAGGAGAAAGAGAGGGAAACAAGTAAAGAAAAGAAAATAGGAAAATATAGGAAGTTAATCAATCACAATGAAAAATAAATTATTGAATTTTACAATTTGTCAAGCTCTTATCATAATTGGAATGTCGCTATTATGTGTAAAGTGTCAAGAACAGAAGCTATCGGCATCTGAAAATGTGACAGTATATGATCGATCTTTCAACAGAGTGTTGTCGCGTCGCAAGCGATTCCTTTTGTGGCGACCTGGAAGTAATGTTTTGGTATGATATGTGTATATTTATAGAATGTTGAGTGTGTGCATAACTTGATGTGAAAATTAAATTTCGTTCATTTCTATGAGCACAAATGATGAATGATGAGTGGCATCATTCCTACAATATAATGTTGTGTCTTCTTATTTACAGCTTACAGCATCTCTTGTAAAACCTCTGGCATTTACACGTCCAACGGGACATACTTTCGTAATAATAATACAATATTCTTGGATAAAGCATTTAATATCTAAAAATTAAACCTTTATCATCAGATTTTAGAATGGGATATATTTTATCCATTACCAAGTAGTTGGCGTTTACCAAAAAAACCAGAGAAAATATTTCCACCTCCTATAATTGAGCCTGAAATACCAATAGAACCAGTTGAATCATGGTCACCACCAAAAGAAGTTTGGCAACCTGAGGGTGGATGGACAAATGATGTTATTCAAGAAATCAATGAACAAAACAAAAACATTGCTGGACGAAGAAACTGGCGACCTCCAATAAAAGTAAATTGATTACAAACTTTATCTATAAATTTTCATTGATCATTATCCTAAATTTCCTTTGCTTTCTTTTGTTATTTTATCATATAAATCGTATAGCAAATGGCTTCAAATCAGCAACTCATGGACAGACGATGGAATGAGAACAGTTTATATAAGTCTTTATCAGCACCACCACAACCCGTATCGTTAAAATTGAATCCGCTTCTTAATAAAAATCCTTGGAAACAAACACAAATGAACCGAAATAATTTTAATTTCAATCAACAATACAACCAGCCAAATCGTCGATTACCATCACCATCATCATCATCATCAACAGTTCTGGCTGCTTCAAAACCATTTGACTTCTCATCAATTTCAAATAAAATTCAAAATTACTTTAGAAAAACTCGTTCAGTAAATGAAGAAATTGTTAAAGATACAAAAGCTGATAATAAAGAACTGGATGAAGACTGGGAACATTATTATGCACATAGAGATCGACGTGATTTATACGACCGTATAGTGAATGCATCACCAATGTAAGTATTTTTATTTCAATATTGCTCTTTTCTCAAAAATGCAAATATCATTAACATTTCCATTTAAACCACAACACACAAAAAGCATGAAAAGGAAAAGAAATGAACTCTCCCTAGATAGTCATTAAGGAAAAGAAGTAAAATAATATAAGTGTTATTAATTGCACTTGTTTCCTGTCATCATGGGGATTTGTTCTTGTTCTTTCAGTCTTCGTTTTTCATCTCTTTTCTACCCTTATTCTCTCATCATTAATCCAGATGGTTGGAAAGTCAGCCTGAAATTAAAGAAACCCATGAGACACAATATCACTCTCTTAGAATATACAAAGACTAGGCATTTCATCTGTCTGCTATTTGCAATTACGTGAGACTAAGTGGAAATACACAGTTGGAACTTGATTTTCATTTATCATTGCTGCACCTGACTTTGTATTTTACCAAATATCATTCATGTTGCTTTAACATTAACATTTTTTTTTTTCTCGTTCTATTTTATCTGCTAATTTTCATAATCCTTTTCCGCTTATTCATTATAGCATTACTGTTGTTTATTTCCTTTCATTATTTCCACATTGCTTTTTCCACTTCAACTATGTAGATGGAATATAAACGAAAATCAGCAGGGATAAATGACTTTAGATATTGCAAGCTGTACAAATGTAGAATTTGTATGGGATATTTCAATGTTTAAGTTATGTATAATGCAAAACAAACTTTTGAAATAATTTATCATTAAATTTAAATTAAACAACCTTAAAGAGCTACATAATTTTCGTCTTTATGTGGATTTAATTATGACATATACAGTAGATGAACATGTGCACCAGATTTTCTGATTTAATTTAAGTATCAGAAACGCTTTTTATTTTATTAATGTTTAAAAATGAGCGATTTTTGCACCCTAATCATCTGAATGTCATCCAAAATCTCTTTTAATAACTTTTTTTTGTCAAATTTTCTACATCAAATCAATTTCAATATCACATGCCTCCTTATCGTAGGTGTAAATATAATGTCATTAAGAAATATCCATAGAAGATAAGCAACTTATTTCCCATTTGTTTTAATGCTGATGCTGCTATTTTTATTTATTTTCATCACTTACTCTTTATCACCATCTTTCCTCATCTTTTTTTTTTTGTTTTAATTTAATTCAGCTCTTTTGCTATTCGCGTTTCCATTATTTTAAAGGACTCCCCTGAAGTACAATTTATTACACTAATTAATTATTTCAACAAGGATCACAAAGGTCCACATTTTCTGCTGCTTTTTTGTTCATCTTTACCTTACTGTTCTTAACATTTGGCTTTATAATCTCTCCACTTCATTGTCACACAGTCGCTTCCTTTTTCTCCTTCTTTCTCAAACTAATTAAAGTCAGATGAAAAGTTGCATTAGAGTGGCGATTTGAATTTAAAATAATGTCAGCAAATTTAGTAGATTTCTTGCTATTTTGTGATAATAAATTTCTATCATTTCCGATAAACATAAATATAAGGATGTGCTTTAAAAATTCGATACCGTCTAAAAGACGCGAATTATGACAACAAGGACAAGAACTTGTATTATGTAATTTAAAATGACTGACAATAAAAATGAATGATCAAATCCATATCCTTACTACGTTGAAGGAATTTCTCAATAAAATGTCAAAGAAAGAGAAAATTCGACTTCATTGCCACGCTGGCAGTTTATTGAAAAAGAAATAACAATAAAAATCGAATAAAAGAAAATGTCAATAAATCTACTCAAATAGTCGCCGAATGTGTCTTTATACATATATTCGAATTACTTTTTTCTGTGCGCTCGCGCGTCTATTACCTAAAATTGAATCAAAGTAAAGTTTCATAAATTTTTATTTATCACATTCCCGAAAAAAAAACTCCAAAGACATTATTTTTTTACGATTATTATCAAGAACAATAGAAAAAAATGTTATGTGAAGGAAATAGAAAATTCTAGGATAAGGCGAGAATTATTTTTCAATAAATTTCCACTTCCATGGACTTTCATTTCTTCTAAGTCATTTTTATGCCTCCAGTATTTTACACACAAATGTGTATGAGCATTGTTAAGCACCTTAAACGTTTGCTTTCCTAATAGAGGAAAAATTGAGAATAGAATTATGTATATTGAAAATGAAATTGAGCATGTATAACATAATTTTCTTCTACTTCTATAGGAATTCAAATTTCGTACGAAACTGTTTATTGAGAACAATGTGTGAAGTTCAACATTTTCTACACCCCAAAGGCTATTCACTCTTGCATGATATGCTTAGAGTTATTTTTACGTAAGTGAAATCATTTGAATTTTTTTTTCTTCTTCCTCTTTCCTTTTATATCCACAGCAATGAACATGAGGCTGTTTCCTGAGAAAAAATAATAATTTGATAATGTTAAGGTGTTATTTGCTTAAGGTTATATAAGATTTGCCCATTATTCGAATCAAATGTAAAGCTTTTTTATTTTCAATTGAGTCATCAAACTTTTTAGTATTTAAATATCCAAAGTCGTTCATTTATAACATCCACCACCATTTTTGGGGTCTTGAATTTTGTGACAGTTTAAAAAAAGGAAAATTTTTTTTTCATTAAAGGTTTATGACATATTTTGAGTTACGTAATAAGTGAACGACCCCCCCCCCCAACCCCAAAAAAAAATTTCCAACATAAAAATTATCGATCGTTTGTAAATTTACATCAAAATATTATTTTTTTTTCACATTCTTCCCATGTTCCTTTATTGATAACATAAATTTGATTAGACATTGAATATAAATTAAGGATGTATTTATGTTATGCGCAAATATTTATTGAATATACCATAAATGTTCCAGAGTTCCCATTAAAGATGACATGGATGATGATTATAGTAATGCAGTGCGAGCAGGCGATCAAGATTGTGTTCATTTTTATAGCAAAAATTGTCCCGTGAGCATCTTGGCACTTTTATTACATGCAAAAAATGGCTAATGGAATTATGGTTTTCGGTAATATGGATACAATCAAAATCAATGTTAATAACATGTACAACACTAAGCAGAGGGAAGTGAGTGAAAATGTTCTATGTAATGGCAATATTTTTTTTACGATTTATCGTCAATGCAGTCATGAACTAGATTAGAAGTTTGATAGAACTTTTATTAGTATTATTGGTTTTATTTTTGTGACTATAAAAACAATAATTGAGGAGTTATTCACTATATTCAGGGGAGGGTTAAACAATATTTAAATATTGTCATTTCATGGAATTCTAAGGGGTCGTTCAGCTATGACGTCAAGGGGATGGGTGGGGGGATGGGGGTGAGCAAGAAAAGAACAATAGAAATTTCTGGAAATCCATTGTTCTTTTTTGAAAAATGACTGTTAATTCCGGACGTTATAATTGAACGAAGCCTAATGTTAATTTTTTAAAAGGATCAATGTAATAAGTAAGGCGTTGAAATTCAGGATTTATCCTGAAAAATGCCAAAAATCCTTAAAAAATCTCTCAGTCAATAAACATAGAAATGTGAAATTCCTTTTAAATCCCGAAGTTGTTCATCAAATGCATCAGGGATTTTAAAGGGAACTCACATTTTCATGTTTATTGGCTCAGGGATATTTTAGGATTTTTGAAATTTTTCAGGATTAATCCTGAGTTTCCACTCCTTGGTAATAAATGAATGATCTTTAAGATAATTTTTGACTTTTTTTAAATTAGGAATGATTTGAAAATATCAGCTAAACTTAGGGAAGAACTATTAATTTGTCTAAAATAGTTTATAAATCGTCTCTAAAACCAGTCAAATTTAAATCAATCTTATTGCTACAAAACTCTCACTTCCCTCAAAACCTAGAATTTAAAATGTTTATAAATGAATAATAAAATTGTTCTATTAACCTTAAAGTTATTTTATTACTATCTTTACACTTTAATTCTTACTTATCCGCTTGTTTAAAACATTTAATTTCAGAAATCAATAATTTTGAATATATTAAGTGTTTTCTAGTGTTTCTAAAATATCTATACTAATCCCATGTCATCTTCCATGTTGATTTGAAAATACATTTCGATTCCACCCTAAGAGTTGAATATTAAATAAACGTTTCAAATTTTTGATTGTGTGATATTAACACCATAACAATTATTACAAGCAAAATAATGAAAAATGACATATGAAAATTATTTCACACTTTTTGTGTCATGTTCATCATGAAATCTTTGCCTTTATATGTAATTTATTAAATTTTTACTCCATTTTTGCTGACAGTGATGACATAAATTGTTTTCCTTGTAAATGATGTGAATTGTTTTTATTTTGTGACATTTTACATACAACGTTCGGTTGATTCTTTTGTTGTATAGGAAGTTAAATGTTTAAAAAGTCAAAAGTTAATTTCCATCTCTTATGAATTTTTGACATTTTTTACGATGGTAAATCAAGTGCGGTTAACAAGGTAAGAACAAGTTTTAATAATTTGACTTTTCTAAGGAATTTATATTTTGACAAATAACCTGAAAAATAAAATGAGTCTTAAAAGATTTTTTTAAAACCTTAATAGGGGCCGTTCACTTATTACGTTACGCAAAAAAATGACTTTTTTCACCCCCCTCCCCCCTTGTTACAATATGTTACAACTCACAACCCCCCCCCCCCCCCCCCCCTCTGAACGTTCATAATTTATTTTATTTTGATAAATTTTTATAGGTAGTTTTTAAGAACATTTAAATTTTATTCATAATTCATCATAGTTTTTCTATTGATTTGTTACTTTATATAACAAAAAATATGTATTGCTTAGCTATCAAAAGTGATCTGGACATTTATAAGTCATTAAAAAGGTGGAAAATTTAAAAACAGACGACAGTTAGAACGTACATTTTCTTACAATTTTTCAACCCCCCCCCCCCCCCCCTCTAAAATGCGAACGTAATAAGTGAACGGCCCCATAATTCTTTGATGTTTTTTCAAACTAGACGAGTCGCTACAAAATAAATCAATCCTTTTATCATTGTTTGCGATCCTTGAAATGAAATTTCAATCAAAAATTGATGCTTTTCATTTAATATCAAATGAAAATAAATTTCCAATTTCATCAAAGGATAGAAAAACGAGTAAAAAGTATACGTCAATAAATGAAAGCGAGAAAGGGAAAAAAATTAAGTAACCATAGCAAACATGGAAAATTCTTGTTGCCAAGCGAAATATTTATTTTCAATTCAACGTTGTTTGTCAGACAAAATAAAATAGAAAACGAGAGGAAAAAGTTCTTCTTTACAAGTCAGAGAATTTATTGATCATTATCGTCATTGAGATTAGAGCACAAGTATATCACAATTGAATCCACTCTTTTCAATTTTCCACAAAAAAATAGAACGAAAATAAAAAGCAAATAAAAAACCGAAATCAAATCATTGAGGATGGTTTTGCTGCACATCAAACGTGGTGAATCTAGTCTGTTTCTCTATGAGACATCCATTCGTGCTGATATCAGTAAATTGACATTTGAAATCGTGACTATCTATAATGGATGTCTAAAAGTTCGACGCATTTGTGCAGGTTTGTTTATTTTTGGTAAATTCAATTCTATTTCGAATAAATTCTTTACTGCTTATTGTATTTAGAAATGGAAGAGCTAGCAAATTATGGATGTATGTTGCCACCTGAGATGATCGGCTTGACTGATGAGCAAATTACAGAACTAAAATTAGTTGATGCATGGGCTGAAACGTGTACACCATCTGGTGGATACAATTTAACAAAAGATCCAGTTGGACGACGTAATGGTTACCAGCCGTTGCCTCAAATGCAAGAAATGTTACGTAAAGCTATAGCTGATGCTTTGGCAATGATTGACAAGAAGCTAGTCGGTGAAAATAAGATGTTGATAGAGAAAAACATTAAGGAAGCTTTAGACTTATTGCGCGGTGCTGTGACAATCGTTTATCCAATGCAATTACCGCCACATGACTCCATTCGCAATGAATTTCAAAACACTGAGGATTTGAGTGGAACGCAAGCATTATTAGAAGTTATAGAGCCGGTTAAAGCTCAATTATGGTTTGCCGGCAAACAAATGTTGCCAGATAAATATCTTGCTGATTTTATTGGAAATAATGAAAAATGTAAAGTCATTGTTAAACTACAAAAAAGTGGCGAGGGTGCACCGGGTCGTGAACCTGTCTTCAGTGAAGCAGAACGTAAACAAATGATGTTGCATGCATATCGGCGCCAGGAAGAATTGAAAAAACTTGAACAAGATGATAATGATAGTTATTTGAACTCATCATGGTCAAATAATATGAGCTTGAAAAGTCAAATGCAAGGAATTGGAGATGTCAAGTTCCGCATGGGAAAATAAATTTTGAAAATAATTTACATATTAAATCTCATGCTGAGAATCTATTTCAATGAATTTATCATGCTTTCTTTCTTAAAAATTTTTTGTGGTGTTTATAAATGAGTTTATGAATTATAACATTTTTTGGCATAATAAATAAAAAGTCTGCATGCAAAAGTCCTTCCCTTGATGCGTCAATGTTCATTATGTCGCATCTGAAACAACAGCAACTTGAAAAATTCTAATTTGAAATTCTAATGAGGCAAATTTATTCCTCTGCTTTATGTACATTCGCATTTATTCATTCTTCTGTTTTATATACTCAATCCTTAGATGAGTCTTAGAAATTTTTGTCAAATGATAGCCAAATTTTTTTATTTTATTTTTTAAGGATGCCGTAATGTAGATTTTGTAGATGAAATTCATAAAAAATGCAAAACTGGGTTTGAGACTCGGTTTTACGGTTGCACAAATAATTTAAAAATCATATTTCACTGCTGGTGTTTTAAATGCTTTAATTCTTAAAATCCCATTCAATTTGCAACTTTCAAAACCCTTCAATTTTTTTCTATGCCTATCGTTATACTATTGGTTGTCAAGGTGTTTGTAGATGTGAGTTCTTGTCTTTACAATAAAAAACCACTACACTTTCAAATTAACAAATTTCATCACAAAAAATATTTTAAAAAATTATTGAGGTTATGACGTGACTATATGTAAAGTAGAATTACTAGGAATAGGAATGATGTTAAATGCTGGAATACTTGTGAAAATTTAATTAACAAGTTGGATGTGATGTTAAAACTGAAACGAATTTAGGTTTGAACTGTACCGTTTTTATATGTTCTACATTTTATTGAAAATATTGAAAAGTGCAACTATGGAAGTGAGAATCTTTTTATATTCACACCGTTTTCACGTGTGAATCTATTAGTTTTGTTCAGATTGAAAAATCAGTTTTTCGCATTTTGTGAGAAAACAAAGCAAAATTGGTTATAAAAGGGCAAGAAGAAAAGTTTGTGCCTGAAATTTTACATCATTTTCAAAAAACAGATTTCAAATTGGTTGTGGCATTGCTGAGAAAATCGCAAAATACGCTTTCTGTAAGCCAACAAGCAAGCAAGCAAGTTAATCAGCAAGAAATCTCAATAACGAGACATCGTAGAGACTTCTAGTTTTTTACATTTGATCCGTGCTGCTCTATAGAAGAGCTGTATTGTTTTTGGGCAAGGTAGGAATAGCCGTTGCTTCAGAAAAAGCAAAAAACTTTCCTTTCTTACGAATTTTTTAAAACAAAAGTTGACTGTGATTTTTATAAAATTCAACCTTGGATGAAATTTTTTTTTAAAAAACTTTTAAAGAATATTTGGCATATTCGTCAAGCTTTATACCTTCAAACTTATGCTGAGCGTAGCTCAGCTGACTCGATATCTTTATATCTTCAAACTTATGCTGAGCGTAGCTCAGCTGCCTCTCTAGCTTCATATCTTCAAACTTATGCTGAGCGTAGCTCAGCTGACACTCTAGCTTTATATCTTCAAACTTATGCTGAGCGTAGCTCAGCTTACGCGATAGCTTTATAACTTCAAACTTATGCTGAGCGAAGCTCAGCTGCCTCTCTAGCTTCATATCTTCAAACTTATGCTGAGCGTAGCTCAGCTTACGCGATAGCTTTATAACTTCAAACTTATGCTGAGCGTAGCTCAGCTGCCTCTCTAGCTTCATATCTTCAAACTTATGCTGAGCGTAGCTCAGCTGACACTCTAGCTTTATATCTTCAAACTTATGCTGAGCGTAGCTCAGCTTACGCGATAGCTTTATAACTTCAAACTTATGCTGAGCGAAGCTCAGCTGTCTCTCTAGCTTCATATCTTCAAACTTATGCTGAGCGTAGCTCAGCTTACGCGATAGCTTTATAACTTCAAACTTATGCTGAGCGAAGCTTAGTTGACTTATCAAGCTTCATACCTCCATACTACTGATGGGCAAATCTTGGTCTATCCATAAGACTTATGATAGTACGGTGTGAATATAATCCGCATTGGGTTTCTACCCGATACACTAGTTTGCATGTGTTAAAGACATTTGGCTGATCTAGATTTTTGATTGTTTAAACAAATTTTTATAACCAAACAGCATGCAAACATTTTCTAATTAACTGTTTTGCCTCAACCACATCTGAATTATTTATTGATCAAGAGAACCCTTTGAGCATGATTGAGTTAATTACTTGCGGTAAAAATTTTGATTGTTTTTTTTTGTAGGTTGTTGATTGTTGCTGAAATTTCCTTTAAATTAATGAAGCTTATTAAAATAATTATCTTGAAGAATTCCTGCTTGGAAAAAAAACGATTCTCATCACTCATTTTTTTTTAAATGAATTGCTTTATGGCTTTCTTTTGGCATTAATAATCATATAATAATTTAAAGAAGTTTCGATTACTTTTAATAAAATCTTAAAATTGTCAAAAAATGCCGATTTGAAGAACTTTTATTTTTGTGTGAGAGTTTTTTACTTTCCTAGAATTTACACCACATTGCGTCAATTAATCTCTTCTGTTTTTATATATTTTTGTGGGTATACCACTACTTCTGTTTTTCTCTCACCATCATTCTTTTTCTATGCTATACCGTTATTCAAAACTTTTTAATTGCTTTTTTGTTGCTCTAAATTCTTTGTTATTAGTTAATATTGTCAAGTGAGCACCTTCTGTTTTGAGACAAACGTTAAATTCCTTCTTTTTATGAAAGTGATTAAATAGTTGAAAAGTTTGTACTTTTGAGAAAGTTTCTTAAATCATCAAGAGAAGCAAAATTATTTTCTTTACTAAAACATTGAATGGATTTTAAAAAATTATTAGAGAATATTTAACATGACAGGGTAAGTTTATGTAAACTAAACCGACATTAAAAACAAAGCTAAGTCAGCAATCTTCATTATTGAAGTCAAATATTTTTAAAAAATTAACTTTTGGCTTATACTTTTTTCGTGAGCTTATTTAAACATATTCCTATGAAGTGTAGCTTAAGAATTAATTACCAAATTAAAGGCATAGTTTTGGAGACAAAACCTCTAAGCTGAGCCACTAGATATGACCTTAAGCAAATAAAAAACATAGTGGAATGTCTCAAACTTTGTACGAATACAGTGTCCTTACTCACGCACTGGTAGATTCATCTATATTGCTTGATATTCCAGATTCCGTTCTACTCCCACACCACACATTGTTAGCATTTCTCTCAGAAGAGATTGTATTAAATTAATTGCAAAGTTAAAACCCTTTCATTTCCAATGAAAATTTTGTCTCGATCCTTCTATAATATTTTCATATTAACTTGACGATTCTATTTTTCAGAAAATCGAGAAAATCTAAATTAAGTATGACACGAATGACAATTGTATTTTATATCATTTTGACCTTGTTCTCTGTATCGCAAACTGTGGAACAACAAAAAAATTATGAGAGCCAACAAAATCAGAAATCAAAAATATTATCGAGAAAAAGGCGTTATCTTATATTTCCAACTGGTAACTTGATAGCATGAGATATAACCTCGGCGTTGTATGATATCAAATTGATTTTCTTATTATAGGTTCATCAGTTTCTATTGCTACTTGCATGACCGTTGGCGTCTATGGAAATCCACAATTTTCATTATGGAGTTGGGCTGTGAATTATGGTTTCGCTTACAATTTGCCTACAAATTCAACAGATTTTTTGCACCCACCAAAAGATGTATCAACATTTCCATTTTATAGTCCAGAAGAAAGTTCAACAACCACAACAACTGAAGAGCCTTTGCCGATTCATCATAATGAAATAGAGCATCGCAGTAGCAATTCGAGTGTAGCAAGCAGAAAGAAATTTTATGTCTATCAACAGCCACCAAAATTTGAAACTCAACCGATGACACATCGACGTTATCGACGAGATATGTATCGAAATATTGAAGCTGTTATTGACAAGTAAGTATTGTTATGTCATGCAAGAAATGTATCAAAAAATAATTCTTTCCTTCTTCTCGTTCTTCCGCTCTCCATCAATTGCTATTACTCATTTCATTAACATCATCAAATATCAAATATGCCAACAAAAAATATAAAATACCATAGAATGGGTTATAATGGACGAGATTGTGTTCTTCAAGCACTTTGCGAAAGTTCAACGATGTTTAAAAAGAAGAGAAGGACAATGATACAGGAGATGATAAAAACAGTTTTTACTATGCCAAAATCGAAAATTCTTCCATTTGAACATCCTGAGTTATTGATATATGATGAAGCTTATCGAAATGGAAAAAAAGAAATGGACTGCGAGAAGTCTTATTTCAAATGTAATTTTTCTCTGATTAAATTGATTCTTGGAAAATATTCGAATCCATTCACTGGATTTATGTAAATTGCTGCGCTATTAATCTTGCGTATTTAAAATAAAATCTTAAAACCTTTAAATTATTTTTTTTTCTATTTGTAAACTTTAAGTGAACTACTTCCTATAAAGGTTTAATACAAATAATGCAGAATAGTTGAGAATAATTGATTTTCTTGTACCAATAAATTTATTCTACAAGACATATCCAACAAACTTCCAAAACAAGAATGCAATTTTTGTTGAATTAGTTGAGACTAAAGTCTCTTGTTTCTTCCATGTGATGCATCAAGAGATGCTTTTCTTTTATTTGCAAATCTGATTAACAAGAAATCTTCTCAAATTGCATCTTGAAAGATTCTCTTTCGTCTTTTCGGTACGATTCTTGCTCTACTCGACTACTCGTTATCTTTTCATGAAAATGTTCATTTGGATTCGTTCTCGATTTCTCTATTGGACTCGTTCTTGCTTTTATTATGTAAATACCATAAGTATATGTGTATATAAAACTAATCTAATATAAAGAAAAAGAAATCTTTTCATTCCTGCATCAATCTGGTGTATTTGTGTGTATATTTATTCTTTAATAATATAAGTACATACCTAAAGTGTATGTAAAGTGATCTCGTTTATTATCCCATTAACAAACTTGTTCAAAACATTTCATATCGGTAGTTGACTTTTGAATATCCAACGAAGGAAATCGTTCATCATTTCTTCAAAACAATTTTACTTTCTTAACTTGTTGGATAATTGCAATCAAACGAACTTGAATCAATAACCCTTAAAAAAGCATGCAAACATTTTAAATTTCAAATGAATTACTTTAAATTATCAATAGTATTTTTGTTTGTCAGCTCAATTGGAGGTCAAGAAAGGAATGAAAATTTAACAGTTGATGTTAAAAACACACAAGAAAAAAAACCAAATGAAAAAATTTTATCTAGAAAAAAAAGATATTTAATTTTTCCAACTGGATCAAGTTTTTCAGTAGCTGTTTGTTCTACAATTGGCATTTATGGTAATCCACAATTTTCAATTTTCAGGTGAGATTTTTGTTTTCATAGAAATAAAGAATAATTTTAATTTGATAAAATTTCAAATTCAAAGTTGGGGAGTAAATTGGGGTTTTGCGTATGATTTACCAACAAATGCATCTCATTATTCAAAAGAATCAGAAACCAATGCACTTAGTCGTGTTGAGAGGTCAATAGAAACAAAACCAATGATCCTGCGAAGAAATCGGAGGGATTTGTTTAATCGAATGGAAATCGCAATGAATCAGTAAGTTCAGCCATTTTCATTTAAATAGTTTTTAATTAAATCATTCCATTTAAACTTTTAGAATGGGATATAATGGACGTGAATGTATACTGAGGAGTTTATGCGAAGCACCACAACTCTTTGGCAAAAAGGGGAAACATTTGATAGCTGAAATAATTCGAACAATTTTCACCTTTCCAACATCAAAAGTTCTTTCATTTGAACCACTTGAACTGCGAATATATGATGAAGCACATAGAATAGGAAAGACGAAAAGTCAAACACAAGCAGAATGTCATAAAATTTATCCAAACTGTGGTTTCTCTTTAATTAAATTAGCATTAGGCAAATATTCAAAACCTTTACAAAGCTACATGTAATAAATAAAGAATTATTTGATGTGATTTACATTTTGTCATGATTATTGACAGTAATCTTTGACTATCGTTTCAAATGTTCAAATTATTCTCGAAAAAAATGTCTCAGTATTTTAACAGACATAAAAAGCTTGCATTTTGTATGTTAGGGTTAAAAGGAAAGAAATTTCAAACCTGACTTTCCTGCAAAATAATCAACAAATAAGTAAAAGACCAAACGATTTTGTTAATTTGTTAATAACGCATAATAACATTTATTCATAATATGTTTATATTAATAATTCATCATCATTTTTACTCAATTCTTTATACAATTCAATGTGGTTTCATTTGTTGTTCACTTGAACTCTGTATCAGTATAAGAAAATTCAGAGTGAGTACGTTCAACATAATTTATGTTATTTCCACTTCCTATTCAATTTCCAGTTTTTTAATCATTTTGTTTTCATTTATTTATAAATATGCGTGAGTGTATAAATGCCTTAATAATTATGTTTCATTTTCTTGTGTTTTTTTTTAATAATTATTATATTAATTTTTCTTACTTCATTAGCATATTATTTTCTCAATTGTTACGAGAAAGGTATGCCTTGCATTATTATTTCTATTCTAAAGCCATCTCGTAACAATTTGAAGTTTTTTTTTTCACATTCCATCAAAAAATTCATATCTCGATAATTTTTGATTGAAATTCTTTATTTTATTTCGCATTCATTTTTGACTTTTATATATAAATTATATAAGTGCAGTGCTTTGCAATCTTCTTCTTATAATTTATATATAATTCAAGATTATTTTTATTTATGTTATATGGTGTTTTTTCCAGTGATTCTCATTTTTTGTTTATTTATAAATATTTTCAAAAATTCATTTTTTTGTTACTTTTTTTCTATTTTTATTAAACTTTTTCTTCATTATTTATCATTTAATTGCTTTAACTAACAACATAGTTACAAAAATCAATAATTGATTTATTTCTGTTTTTTCTTACATCGACATTAATATTGCCATTTAGCAAAGAAAATTTTTCTCCTCTTTCTTTATAGATTTTCCCCCAGATTTATAAGTTATTGATTTTTTTTGAGCGGTTTTCAAATTAACATGCTAAAGTTTTAATTCATTTTCAGTGTTTTCGTTGAGTCTGACAATATCTGAATCTCAACTGTTTTCTGAGAAGCTGTTTTTCAACTTTTAAAAACACTGTTCAGTTTTACTAAAATTTAAGTTTGAAATAAATTAATTTTAAATGAATTTAAATGTTCTACCAACAAAAAAGAATATTTATATTTTATAAAAAACGATTAAATCCTTATTTCTGTTTATTTTTGCTGATATCACTGAATAATCTGAAAGTGAATTATTCTAATATGAATTTCACATTTTTAAAATTCAGATATTTATTTTTTCAACCTTTTTTAAAATAAATCACTTTCTATAAAATAAAATTATTCAAGTAGTTTTATTCTTAATAATCAAAATCGAATGCGTCTTCAAGGAAAACAGAAGACTGCTAAAGTTTTTCAGTCTCATCTTTTGTTATTGAAGGAAAATAGAAAGGAGAAGAAAAATTTTGGTTTATAGAATTTGATGGCTCGTTTCCAGCAGTATTCAGGAATTGAAATTAATCAAATGAAAATGAAGCAAAGTGAAAAATATTCATTTTCTTATTTATAAGCTCATTGCATTTGAGGACAGCTAGTGGCAGAAATTAAGGAGTTCTTGAATTGTTGTAAAGAAAATGTTTTCATCTTCAGGCGAGGTCTAGTAACTGAAGATATGGTTACCACTGAAAAAATTTTGATTCAGCATTAAAAAGCTGTCATAATTTAGACTTAAACCTGTTGAAACTTTGTTTCATTCTACTTAAAGACTTTAATGCTCGCTGCTGATTGAAATTTCACAAACTTCATTTTCATTCGATTACAATTTCCCATAAAAACCTTAAAATTCTAAATTTTCTTAAATCACTTATTTTTTTTTTGTTCTAATAATGTAAAAAAATTATTGGCAGATTTTCGCATCTCGTTTAATTTCAGATGTTTTAAGACTAAAAATTTGATGATTTTATTCAAATATAGAAAAAATATCATTAGATAAATCAACACTTTATCTTAGTTATCAATTTTAATGAAATTTAAGATCTGGCTTATAATTTAATGTTAATAAAAAAAATAATTAGTCATGTCCTCTTCATTCGTTTGTTAAAAATACCAAATTCGGAAATGAATCATATTTTCTAACAAGAAATTTTTTTCGTAGTTTGTAAAATAAGAACTTTATTTGATTTTTATACAATTTCAGAGCTTCTTTTGATTTCCATTTCATATGTACACAATTATGAATTAAAAATACTATAATTAGGATTATTTTCAACTTTTTACAAATATGTTTCATCATTTTGTTTTCAAAATGTATGTTTATAGCCTAATGTTTTATAGAATTTATGCTTCACATTGTTTTATGTTATTTTTCATTCTTTGAATTTTCATCATTAATATTATTTATATTTCATTAATAATATTCTAACTTTCATCTCATTTCATTATTATCTAAAATAGTAGAAACAGTATTGTTGTGTTTAACCCTATTTTTATATACGTCTTATTATGTCTATACGTGTATGTATGTGTTTGTTTTTGCGAAAATGATAATCGTATATAAATGTGTGCACAATTACTGAAACTTAATAAAATAAACTCAAGAGATCTCTATCGAGTATCTCGATTTCTCTTGTTATCGTCGTTTACGCTCTTTTTGTTGTGTGACTTCTTTTGTAAAATAAAAATAAAAAGGCAATAAAAGCGAGACGTATTAAAAAGTTTGGAAAGTTTTCATTTATTTTATTACGCCGCTTTCATTTGACTTTATGGTTTGAAGGGGTGGATTTTTTTATGCTGCTTTAGAAGAATTTATATCAGTTTTGTTATGCCAAAAATTAGTTTCTTGAAAGTAAATGATATCTTTTTGCATCCGAACCTATTTGCTGTTTTTCTTTTTCTATAGAGTTGTGCTCAATAAATTTAACAATTGAAAGTTGATCTTAGACTGATTTGCAAATATTGCTTTTAAATGTAATTTAAAATGATTCCAAATTTGTGCTTATGAGTATGAATAAGTTTAAGATAAGTTTAAAATATATAAAAAAAATTTTCCACCCCTAATATTTAACTTTTGGGATGACGATTATAGTTTAGAAAACTTTTGCAAAACCTATTGAAAATTAGAGAAAGAATTATGAACACTCGTTGTGTGACTCAAAAAATATTTAACTTTTTTTTGAATGTATGCTGTTCCTTTTTATGCGTTTTTCATAGGTATGAACTATTAAATAGAATTATTAATGTTTTTATCGTAAATGTACGTGTTGTGTGCATATGTGAATGTGTGTGTGAACCTGTGTATTAATGCTTATCACTTAATCTCACAATGTGTTTGTTAAGATATATTTTTAGTAAATAACGCACTTTACTCTTTTCATAGAGCTTTTTGGCTTTCTCAAATGTCCCATACACAAAATATTCTTGTAAATATAATGGCCATGAAGACATTCGGGAATTTTAAAAGTTTCCATTTTTAAAAAAAGTTATACGATCATTATTACTATTAATAGTTGAGTTTCATCTTTAAATTTTAACCTTGAAAAAATGAGAAAAAAATTCTGCATCTTCTATTCTCAAATGTGAGTAGTGAGTATCGATTGTCCCTACATTAAAAATGTATGTCTTTTGTGTGAGCGAGTGAATTACCTTAACATTTTTGCTGATAATTTTCTTATTACTTGTTATTACGTCATTAAATAGTGAGTACTTAGAAAGATGTAGAAAGAGTGTGTGGGAGGGAGGGAAGGAAGTTTGTGAAGAAGAATTCTAAAGAAACTTAAATCCTATCTCCGCTTTTTAAGTAATGATTAAATCAATCTTTATTCTCAGCTTATTTGATTAAGTCAATTTACTAATTGCTAAATTAACTTTGAAAATCTGTTAATAAGCTCTATTTAAGTTTGTGCTAGGGTACAGTTGAAGTTGAATTTATTTGCTTTTGGTTTGCGTCAATTTTAAATTTAAAGGTTTATTTTGAAAATTTGAAAAATTCCTTGCCGATAAATGACATTAAGTCAGATAGAAATCAGCCTCAAAACATGTATTTTCAGCAGATATTCTAAGAAGTCTCGATAATGTGAAAAACTGAGATTTAAATTTTATTTGCTTCAAATTGAAACTTAGCACACACTAAAATAGAGCATCTTAAAATTTTGATATAAATTAAAAATTATCAATTCAATTTAAAATCAGCAAGAAATTATTATTATTTGTGAAAATTAAACAACTTTAATGTTGGTATTCCAAGGATTGATAAATAAATTTTTGCTTATCAAATTTTCCACTATTTGCTCATCAAGTAATCACTCCAATAAGATAGATTAAACGATTATACGGAAGATATAAAGGATTTTGAAATTTTATGTTCAGCTGTAAAAATTTATTTGTAGAAAATTCCATTCCTTTTATACTTTTATTAAATAAACGCAGAAGTACACAGAAAATTAAAACAAATATTTGATGAGCAAAAGTTTCTCTTCTTCGTGTTTTTCGAAAGAAATGAAAAGTTTCTCGACAGAAGAAAGAAAAAAAGTTTTAGTATTCGTAGCCATTTACGTAAATTGAATTCAATTCTTGGAATAAAAATTACAAATTAAATTTCCTTCCTTTTTAACTTTTTACTTTTATTTCAAATGTACAAATAAACTAAATAATTTCGTTTCACAACCTGTCTTACATTTGACTTCATTTCATTTCTTTCTTCTCTTGATGCGCGCGAACGAATTCTTTTTGAAAATAATAAGTTTAACAAATTTGAGGATAAAACAAGTAAGCACGGAGCAAAACTAAAAGTATAGCCAAAATGGCAACATGAAGGACGATTATGCATGTGAATTTCTTTTACTAAGCGCAAAGTTTCTTATCCTTCTTCTTCGCTTTCTCATCTTTTTTATTTTTTTTTTCTCGGTAAAAATGTTTTGAGAGATCATATAGAAAAA